ACGAAGCCCGGGAGCCTGTGGCCCTCCAGGTGTTAGGCCAGACTGCAGTTCCTGTAATTCCTGATGGTTGGCCAATGGTGGCTGGAGCCATCGGGAGTCCAACAGCATTTGGAGAGTGCAGGATCCCGACCCCTGCGATATATTATTACTTTGGACTTCCCGGATGTTTTGTTCACTCTTGCCCAGCCATATAGGTAGAAGCTTTCAAGGGAAACTGGGGAAAAAGAGGTGACTTCTCATGTTGGTAGTACCACTTTTTTGTTATTCAAAGTGCTTGGCAATCCTTCGCTTTTTCACCCCTGATATCCTGGAGGATTGTGTGTCAATCATCCATGCCCTGGTTAACTCTAGGCTTGGCTACTGCCCTATGCTCCACATGGGGCTGCCCTTGAAGACAGTTCAGAAACTACAATGGGGGAGAGGAAACCCACTAATATATTTAGATGTATTTTTACACTGGGGAAACTGAGCTTGAGAGCTAGTGACTTAGCCAAGGCTGACTCCACAGGATAGATTTGAACTCGGGTCTCCCGGGACCCACCCTGAAATCCCTTCTGCCCCCTTTGTTTTATTGTCTCCAAAGAATATGAGGATGTGCTTGATTTATTTATATTTTATTTTTAGGAAGGTCTCCTTCTCTCTGGGTTTTTACTGCCAGCTCTGTGGATTTTTAATTATAACTCCAGCAAAGGGAGTCAGCGATAATTGAGCTAAATTTGTGTCATAGTTTATGCTAATAATTTTTTTCTGCAATTAGTGGCTTTTTAGCAAGATTCTTCTCTCGAGCTCAGCTTCTTGCTGCTCTGAGAGTTTGTCAGCCCTGCAGTTTTCCATTCTTCCCTCTGCGTTGCTTCCTCCCACCCTAGTAATGCAAACTTGTTTTCTTGCAGAGAGCTCTCTGTACAAATGGAGAGCTATTTCAGGGCCTCTTTTCTGCATCCCAAAAGGCAGATTTCTCTCCCCCCCCCGTGTCATACGATCTTTCTATATGTCTCTTTCCCTAAATTAATGTGAGTGTAAATATGTATACTTTCAAAAAATTGACTGTATAGGCAGCTCAGCAGTATAACTCTCTCTGAGCTGTTTCACAGCAAGGAGCAGAATAGCGAATCCAAAATTCAAGGCACGACTAGGGCAGGATTAAATTCGCTGCTTCTTCAGCTGACGGCTAGCGCATCTCATGCCCTGCTTGTGCACTTTTGGGGTGGCCAGGCGAGAAGAGGGTGCGACACTAGGGGGGTCTCCTTTGGCCTGATCTAGCTAATGGGGACTCTAAAGGTAAAGGGACCCCTGACCGTTAGGTCCTGTCGTGTACAGGGTCAGGTTTAAGGTACTGGTTTTAACCTTGAAAGCCTTTTACGGCCTAGGACCCTCCTACTTACAGGACCACCTCTCCTGGTATGCCCCGCGGAGGACCTTACAGTCTGCAAATAGTATCATCTTGGAGGTCCTGGGCCTCAGGGAGGTTAAACTGGCCTCAACCAGGGCCAGGGCCTTTTTGGCTTTGGCCCCAGCCTGGTGGAACGCTCTATTGCAGGAGACCAGGGCCCTGCGGGACTTGACATCCTTCTGCAGGGACTGCAAGATGGAGCTGTTCCGCCTGGCCTTTGGTCCGGGCCCAGTTTGACCCCCCTCTATGGGATCCTGTAAGTTACCTCTTTGGCCCTTAATCGGCTCATGTGGGACCAACATGGATAGCTGGCCCTGAGGTTCCCGACCCCTGTGGTTGTAATTCGTGGGCGGTCATTTAATTTTATCCGGATTCTAATTTTTAAGCTGTATTTTAATCAGTTGTTTGATTGTGTTTTAATGTATTTGATATTTGATGTCAGCTGCCCTGAGCCCGGTCTTTGGCCGGGGAGGGCGGGGTATAAATAAAAATTTACTTACTTATATGGAGTCCAGTGTGTCATCCTCCCGCAATTCCACAGGTGTCGGTCAGATGCCCCAGACATCTCTCCCGTCACACTGCTGCTTCCCAGCCACTGGCATTCTGAGGTAGACTGCTTCTGAATCGGCAGGTTCCATCTGGACCGTTGTGGCGAATCGCCATCCACAGACCCCCTTCTCCATGACTTTGTTGAATCCGTCATCCACCATCAGATTCTGTGAAACAGGATTAGGGAACCTTGGGCAGCGTGGCCCTCCAGGCTTCTCTATGTGGCCCTTGGAACCTTCCCTAGGACCCACCCTTTCACTGGCCCTGTTTCGCACCCCAACTGTTTTTGCCTAGCAGTCTTTGAACTCTGCTCTAATCTCGATGGAAGCCAGAGAGGCGAGTTCGAGTGTCTGTAGAAACTAGCCTACCGGGTAAGGGTTAATTCATGGCCCCACCCACTTTTGCTTCCATGTGGCCCCTGGGGAGAGGAATAGGGCCCTTGGGTGAAAAACGGTTCCCCAATCCGGAATTAAAATTTGTGCCCCAAGTTGGTCGGTTGATTTGCAGGCTGGAGTGACTCACAGCTATTTCCTGCTGCGAAATAAGCGCATTGCATGGGGGTTGGGCTAGATGACCTTTGGTGTCCCTTCCAAGAATGTGGCCCGGCAGTTTGGACAAAGGCAGCAGCGGGTGTTCACCCATAGCCACCCCAAGGAGTTGGGGAAAGCCCATCATGGAACCCAGAGGGTGTTGCCATGCAGAGCCAAGTCAGATGAGGAGGCAGAGTTTTTCTCTGCAAAGCATTTTTGCAAACAAATCATAGCAGTTTCCGCCGCAATCCACGCTGTTCAGAGAAGGGCTGGGATGTACGGAGCCACGTACGGCAGGTACAATGTTGGGGGGTGCCGGAGAAGTAAGTGCACCCCATTGGCACAGGGCAGGTTCTGAAATGTGTAGAAAAATTCCAGTTGACTAGCTGGTGCATGCACTGCTGAAATATTGAAATCAATCCCCCCATTTCTGGAATCATGGCACAGGGTGCTTTTTTTAATGATAATTGGAGTAAACGTGCTGCCAGTCACTGTTGGGAAATATTTTCCTTTCCAATTCTGGATGACTGTTAATGCACCAGGACAAAAACATTTTCGTGTTTGCCCTACGCTCTCAGACTTTGCCGTTTGATTGGCTCAAGCGGGGGGCGAGGGCCCTGCAAGGCGGTTGGACTCCAATTCCCATCAGTCAGTGTGGCCAACGCTCAGGGACCATGGGATTGTAGAATTATAGAGTCGGAAGGGGTCCGCTAGGGGTCATCTAGTCCAACCCCCTGCAATGCAAGGGGAGTTGTTGTCCAGCCGTATCTAAATGGTTCCTTACCTCTGGACAGAAGCTTTTGTTGATTAGTCTGCTGATTGAGACTTGCAGATCTGAGAGCCAGTGTGGTGTAGTGGTTAAGACCGGTAGTCTCGTAATCTGGGGAACCGGGTTCGCGTCTCCGCTCCTCCACATGCAGCTGCTGGGTGACCTTGGGCCAGTCACGCTTCTCTGAAGTCTCTCAGCCCCACTCACCTCACAGAGTGTTTGTTGTGGGGGAGGAAGGGAAAGGAGAATGTGAGCCGCTTTGAGACTCCTTAAAGGGAGTGAAAGGCGGGATATCAAATCCAAACTCTTCTTCTTCTTCAGATCAAATTTAATGTTTATGGGCATGACGACTAGAAACTTGAGTGCTGTTTATTGGCACTGATTTTGAAAAAATTCTGGATCTTGCGCTGGGCACTAAATTCTTCTCTCTTGGGCTGGTGTGTGTAAGTGTGTGAGAGAGAATATACACAGCATTATATACAGTTTTGGCTCCAAGTGATTTCAGTGGGAAAACGGCGTTCACAGTGTTACCGGAAAAATCCGAGGGCTCCCTTGGACAAAAACAAAGACACCAACCAGGATAACGTGGAGCAAAACAGCAGCCTGTAGGCTTGGCCTTTATTGAACTGTTGCAACAGGGTGTTCCCCTCACTTGCAAGAGAGAGGAAAGACCCAGAAAGATGGTGTGCAAGACCTTATAAAAACTTTTGAAATTCCCATCCTCTAGGTCAAGCCCACCCCCAGAAACATCATGCATACATTACAGAAAGGAGGGGTTGAGGGAGGAGTTGTGGTGGTAACCTGAGTGTCCTGTCACCTGGCTGGTTCCTCCTTTCCCCCTCCCCACGAGTCACTTCCAGGAGACAAAGGGGGGTTGGCAGTTTCCTGCCCCCAGAGGGAAGATCTGATCATTGTCCTTTGTTTCAGTCCATGCTGAATCCACTCCCATATGCAAGTTCGTTGTGATCTTGATGGTCTTCTGTCTGGGACCATCAGGGTTGGCATAGCAACTGGGCAGGGCTCCTGTGGATGTGCTGGGATGGTGAAGGGATTATGGCTGACCAGAACCAAGCCACCCCCCCTTTGATAGTCCTTGTCATATGGAGTAAAATAAAAATGGAACAGTGCAAATCCGATGTATGGTTGATTTTTCTATGAATTTATAACAGAAGTGTGGCATATGTAGTGTGTGAGTGTGAGTGTGAGTGTGTGAAGTTTGTACAAACTGAATCATTGGGGTGGGGGGTTCCTGCTACAACAGGAGGAAGGAAAAAGCTCTGCATATTCCAGAGATGTTGAATTTGGTGTTGGCTTTTCCTTGTGCTTAGATTTAGTTGCTCAAAATGTGCTTTGAGGGAGGCTTTGATAACCACCCCCCCCAACAAAACTTTGCTGAGCAGCAGATCAAGTGTACATCCTACCAGCGGTATGACTTATAATTCTCTAACAAGGAGGATTTTAATGTTTCATATACAGGCTGGGGCCTGAGACCTGCGGGTACAGGGTAGTATACAAATTTAGCAGATAGATGCAGATTTCAGTCGTCAGCCTGGCATCCAGAGATCTCGCCATTGAACCCGCACCAGTTGCGAAACTTGCCTGGTGCCTGGGGAATTTTGAACACTGGTGAGAAGAATGGCAAAAGCAGGGGACCCCCCCCATTGTAACCCCAATTTCCCTCTTTTTCCAGAAGGTTGTGGCCTTCCCTAACGGAAACCAGCCATCGGAGGACGCGTTGAGGCTGCCCCGAAATCGGATGGTTCCGGGGTTGAGATGGCAGCCCTGTACGGCAGCGAGGTGAAATGCGTCAGCGTGGAATGGGATTTCCTGCAAGGCTTATTAGTGAAGAACCAGCCGGTGCCTTGGTAAGAGGCCTCCATTTACTGCCTCCCTTCTTGGGGCTACTGGGCATAATATTTCATAGCCGCTGTGCCATGGATTGCGAAGATCTTAAGTCGAAGTCTTTGCTCAGTCATGAAGCTGCTCTGTGTTGCAGCCCTAGCCTACCTGGACTAATTTAGCCAGCTAGCCCTGGTGATCATCTAATGTTTATTGGATGGATTTCCCCCCCTAAATTGATTTTTGAATTCTGAATTTACTGTTACTCACGTTTTATACAGTATTTTGTGCTGTTTTTTGTTGCATCAATTCATAGCTGTCAATGTTTTCCTTTTTTTAAGGGAAATTCCCTTATTCCGAATAGGATTCCTCACAAGAAAAGGGAAAAGTTGACAGCTATGCATCAATTAAGTGTTTTAAATTTATTGTTAGCTGCCCTGAGCCCGGTTTTCTGAACCGTGAGTACTCTGCGCCATGAGTACAAAGCCGACCAAGCCAGCAAGACGCTGAGGTGGCCGGCCGCCTCCTCCCTCCTGCGCGCCTAGGACTGGGCAACCGGGGGCGGGGCGCTGGGCGGATTTTGCACCCGGCGCCGCATATGCTTAGGACAGCACTGCTTGGAGGGTTAGCTGGGGCAAACACGCACCCACCCACCCACATGAGCCACCCTGAACTCCTTAGCGAGCAGTTTTTGCCGTCCAGGCGTCCTGGACTACAACTCCCATCAGACCCTGCAAGCCCTCAGTTCCTTCTGTCCATTTTGTGGTGCTCCCTTGTTCTAAAAAAATGAGCCAAACACGGCAGTCTCATGTAGAGCAATGAGGATTATGGACGCATGGCTTGACTGCGTGTGACAGGCCAAACCTACGCCATGCATTTAAAGCGCAGGCTTGGCTCCCCCCAAAGAATCCTGGGAGCTGTAGTTTGCTGAGGGTTGTCTGGGGACCCCCTATTCCCCTTCACAGAACTAACATTCCCAGAGTGGTTTTACAATCCATCCCTCCTCCCAGGGAACTCTGGGAATTGTTGCTTTCTGAAGTGAATACAGGCGTCCCCGAACAACTCTCAACGCTCTTGTCAAGCTACACTTCCCAGAATCCTTTGCGGGAAGCCATGTTTGTTTGAAGAGGCACCAAAGTGCTTTAAGTGTGTGGTGCAGGTCAGGGTGGATTTGATTTAAATCAAATCAATTTAAATCATGATTTAAATCACTAGTCAGTAAGACTTAAATCTCTTTTTTTACAGAAAGACTCATTCTTGCTGGTATAATCTTAATACAGTGGACCCTCTTGATCTGAATGTAATTCGTTCCAGGGGTTCGTACGTACCCCGAAAAATCCACAAGTAGAGGCGCCACTTCTGTGCGCGGCGCGATAGAGCGCTTCTGCACATGTGCGAAGAGCACTTTTGTGCATACGCGCGCAGCGAAACCCGGAGGAATACACGTTACCCTGAGGGGCCACTGTATTAACAACCAGATGAAGGTTTCATTTTTGGAATAATAAATTTTCAGAGTAGTTTTTAGTTATATCAAAAATGACTGATTTGGTTATATTATTAGAAATACATTGACAGATAATTATGAAATTATTGTGAGGTTTAATAAGTTAACTGTTTATATTTGGACAACATTTCTGGTGTACTTTATTGGAAGGAGAAAAATAATCTTTTCCTTAATAACAATTTAAACAATTTATTTAACTAAAACAATAACATTATAGCATATGTATCCATGTTTGTTAACTGATGTGGTGAAACAATTTTTTTAAAAAAAACACAGACTGAGTTTTAGCACACATGAAAAACTTAAATCCTTATTTCCTGATGAATAGCCTTTGGACTATAATGTAACTTAAATAGAAAACTATCTTTAGAAAGATTTTCCCTCCAAAAGCACTTTATTTTAAAAATCCAATTTAAATAAAAAAAAGGCTTTTCCTTTTTTTAAAAAAACAAACCATTGATTTTTATCCACCCGGGTACAGGTGCCTCCTCTGAGACATTTCATACAATATAACCACCATCTTTCTCTTAGTATTTTGAACAGGAACCTCTGAGGAAAAGTGGGGGCTGGGAGAAGCAAATGGAAACCCTTTTTCACTTTTTGCAGAAGCGAGATTCCTGCATTGCAGTGGGTTGGACTGGATGACCACCGGGGTCTCCCTTCCAACTCTACAACAATTCTATGAGTTTAAAGTGTGCCTTGTTGGCCTTTTCTGCCGTTCATGGCTTGTCTTGCCGCTCTGTGAGCCGGCGAAGGAAGGCGTTGGTTGGCGTTAGGTCAGGGCAGGCCTGTATGTCCGTCCTGTTCAGGAGGGTGGTGGTTATTTTTGTGGCTGTTACAATCCGTATTTTGTGTTTTTATACCGGAAGCCGCCCTGTGATTTTCGGGTGAAGGGGGTGGTAGATAAATTTAATAAATAAAAATACAGTCATACCGCATGTTACAGATGCTTCAGGTTGCGTTTTTTCGGGTTACGGGCCCACCGAAACCCGGAAGTACTGGAACGGGTTACTTCCGGGTTTCGCACATGCGCAGAAGCGCTAAATCGTGCTTTGCGCATGCGCAGAAGTGCCAAATCGCAACCCACGCGTGTGCAGATGCGCCGCTGCGGGTTGCGAACGTGCATCCCGCACGGATCACGTTCGCAACCCGAACTTCCACTGTAATAACAATGGTGGTTTTTCCGCAGCCTCCAGGCCCTGCGCAAGGAGAAGTCCCGAAACGCTGCACGCTCTCGCCGGGGCAAGGAGAACTTTGAGTTCTACGAACTGGCCAAGATGCTGCCGCTGCCCGGAGCCATCACCAGCCAGCTGGACAAGGCCTCCATCGTCCGGCTCACCATCAGTTACCTCAAGATGCGAGACTTTGCCAACCACGGAGACCCGCCCTGGAGCCTGCGGGCGGAAGGGCCTTCCCCGCCTGGCAAAGGTGGGTGGCAGATGCGTGTGGAATTGTCCATGGGCCATGAGGGACGGCGACTTGGTTTGTTTTTTTAGCTGTAAGAGGGGCAATGACCATCGCCGCCTCTGGAAGGAAGCTGGAGCCAAAGGTTAAGGTCTCCCCCTTGTTTAGATCCTAAGAAGTTGCCCCCTACCAGGGCAAAGGCATTGAGGGCTGCCATACGTCCAGAATTTCTCAGACATAGCTGGGTTTTGGCCCTCATAAACAGCGTCCCAGGTGGAATTCGCTGAAACGTAAGGGGAAATCTGGGTTTATGGCAATGCATGCCGGAAGTGTAGATTTTGGCGAATCTCCTTGAAAATTGCTCAAAGCTTCAGCAACAACTTTGGCAAAACAACAGCAAAGCTCAACAACTTGTGTGTTTGTGTATATGTGTATATACAGACACACACACACACACACTGCTTTTTTCCTAAAAAAATGTTTAAGGGTACTCTCGTTTTCCTAACCATATTGAAATACTGCCCCTCAATAAGGCCCAACTTATATTCACAAAATGTTTAGGGGTATGCGTCCCCCCAGAAAACAAGCAGTGTGCGTGTGTGTGTGTATAATTTTTTTAATTAAGTTTTGTTTTACAATTTAAAATACTTCTTTTACATCCATAAGATACCAGTGACTTCCCTTCTTCTCTTTCCACGGTTCATTTTACAAATCATAAATCCCTGCATATTTTACAAAAAAAACCTGTACCGTTCAGTATTCCATTATTGCATCCATCAAAACTTGTTTGCACTGTTGAATTTATCTCAACGCTGCCAGCCCTCAACAACTTTTGGGTCCAGATTTTCACTTTTTGGAATATGGCAACCCTATAGTACAGTCTATTTTGGCTGGCAGTGACTCTCTGGGACCGCTGGTTAGAGGAAGGTCTTTTCCATCACCTGCTACCGGATATCCTTTTACCTGGAAATTGAAGCATGGGGACTTCTGTATGCTCTGCGGCTGAGTTGCGGTTCATCCCCTCCTGCCGGTCTCTCGCAAGACCGGCGTCCTTCTTGTCGCCCCCTTCCCATGACACAGTTAAATCTCGTCTCCCCCAGAGCCTGTCCATTTCCTCCTCCTCGTCCTCCTCCTCTCCCCGTATCCCTAATTCCTCGCAGAAAAGGCCAGGGCGCCGTTTCATTCCAACACACCCATGCGCTCGCGCACGCACCGCACAAAGGCGCTTGCCCAGATAAAATAGCATTGATTAGCCATGCAATAAATCACCATTTAAATAATGCAGCTTCAAAGTGTGTAATTAAATAAATTAACTGCCTTGGAAGAATACAGGCTTGCAGCAATTTCTGATTACTATCATTACCCGCGGGGTAATTATCAGCCAAATAACGAGTGTTCCATGAAATAGGGATAAACATCTGCCTATTGTCTGGAGAGGCTTGGGCGAGGCGCTGTCCGTTCCCCCCCCCCCTTCCTGCACCCCCTTTGCCTCTTCCCCCCCTCCTCAATGAGCAAATTCCAGCACTGAGAAAGGGGCACTTTGCTGTTGAGCCGAACTCTGCACCCCACCCCTAGGCACCCAGTTTGCAAGAGGAGCCAAAATCTCTGCAGAGTGAATTCTGTTAATGATCAGCTAGGAAAAATGAGCGCTGAGAACTTTATAAAACTATGGAAGGGCTTTTCCCCTATTGTTCTGCTGCAGCTGTGTCCTGGAAGAGGGTTTAAAAATAGAGAGTGGTGTTGGAGGGCCAAAGCGGGGTCAGAACAGAGAATTAGGATGCTCGAGTGCTTAATTTATGGGCAGAGTGTGCTGTGTGAGTTCGCTTTTTACAATGAGGGCTAGTATAATAGTATGTGGATAGCAGTGTGGAAATTGATGTTTGGGCCCTGAACTGTGGAGAGGGTAATACTAGTAGCTGGGAGTGGCAGCTTTCATCCAGTGAAATTGACGGGCAGTTGGTTCAGGGTGGGCAGAAGGAAATATTGGTCACACAACAATGCACAATTAACTTGTGGAACTCACTGCTTCAAGATGTGTGTGATGACCGCTACCTTACATGCCATTTTTTATTTTTAAAGGTTTAGGCTAATTCTTTTAAGAGGGAAAGGACTGCTACCTTAGATGTCCTTTTTAAAGGTTTAGGCCATTTCTTTTAAGAGGGAAAGTCTATTCGCCACTCTGAGATAGCTCCATGGAGCCTCCAGCCTTGGGAATAGCATATCTCTGAATATCAGGTGTTGGATCCACAGGGGAGAGCTGTTGCCTTCACGCCTTGCCTGGGGAACCTGTGTCCCACCCCAGAGATGTTGCTGGACTAGAACTCCCACCAGCACCAGCCAGCACGGCTGGGAGTTAGAGCCCAACATTGCATTGAAGGGGGTTGGACTAGATGACCCTTAGGTCCCTTCAAGAAGTACGGTTCTCTAATTCTAACATAACTGTTACAGGTTCCTTTTTTCTGGAACTTTGGGTGCAACTCAGCTTGCAAAAGAGGGGTTAAGACAGGTAGAGTTTGGGACCTCCAGATCCCCAGATCATCCCTGTTTCTTTAACTTCTTGCACTGACCTGTTCCTCCTCCTCAAGCTTCTCTTGGAGTTGACCAAACAGTTTAACTTGGACATTTCCACCAAGCAAAAACTAATTAATCTGATTTAATTAATTAATCAGATCTGGCGAGAGGGGTGGGGAGGTGGAGTGGGAAATCTGTTTTTAAAGAAGGCGCTTAACAAAAACTGCAGCTTCCTTTTTCCATGGTACTGCCCGCTGCTACAATATCACAGGAACATAACAAGGTGCCTTATGCAGTCAGACCTCTAGCTCAGTATTCTCTGCAGCAACTCTCCAGGGTTTCAGGAAAGTGCAAATGTCCTGTTTGCCCCTGGTCCCTGGGAGGATTGTGTCTCTCTGAGCCTCAGTGTTCCCCAGCTGTAAAATGGGACTTCATGCATACCAGTGTTTGCAGAACTTTCCCACTTCATAAAACTGAATCTCGCAGCCCCTTTCTTTCTCACCTGCAAAACATAAATATTAATTGGTTTTTCGATGCAACTCTGCTGGCAGATTTTCTAATTTTCTGCAAGGATCTCTGATCTTAGTCACTTGGGTGAAGATCCATCCTGGCTACAGGACAGCCAAGTGTTTAGACTTAAGAGGGGCCAGGGAGGAAGGGTAATGGGTTCGATTCCTGATCCCTGAGTCAGGCATTTTGTGCTTGGTCCTTCACCTTCCGCCCCCCATTATTTTGTACTTCACTTGGCTCTGATTGGCGGGTGCTAACCCAATACATTTTGCTGCCTAAGGTGGAGCAGAAAACATACCCCGCAAGCGTCCCAAGAAAAAGCAGGACATTCCGTTTTCTCATGCGAGAGCATGGCTGCCCTTTAGGGTGCTGTGATTTTGCACTGAGATCTCACAGGAAGACGTGTGGGTGTGCAGAAAATGGTCCGTCCCATTTTCTGCTTCTCCTACTCAAATTGCAAATTGATGTACAGTGGTACCTCGGGTTAAGTACTTAATTCGTTCCGGAGGTCCGTTCTTAACCTGAAACTGTTCTTAACCTGAAGCACCACTTTAGCTAATGGGGCCTCCTGCTGCCACTGCGCCGCCACTGCACGATTTCTGTTCTCATCCTGAAGCAAAGTTCTTAACCTGAAGTACTGTTTCTAGGTTAGCGGAGTCTGTAACCTGAAGCGTATGTAACCCGAGTTACCACTGTATTTTTCGCTCCATAAGATACACCTGACCATAAGACGCACCTAGTTTTTAGAGGAGGAAAGGGGGAAAGCCCCGTTTTTGTATTGTTTTGTATTGTTTTCTTGTTGTTAGCCGCCCTAAGCCTGGCTTCGGTTGGGGAGGTCAGGATATAAATAAAAATTTATTATTATTATTATTATTATTATTATTATTATTATTATTTTGGCGGGGATCAGCTCGCAGTTGTGCAGCTTCTTTTGCAAAGGGGAAAAGCCCCTTCTTTTGAGGATCAGCTCAGAGTTGTTGAGCTTACTTTGCAAAGGGAAAAAACCCCTGTTTTTATGGTGTTCAACTCACAGTTCTGCAGGTTCTTTAGGACAGGAAAGGGAGCCATTTCTACAGTTTCCAGACAGATAATCTAATCAGCCAGTCACATGTCGCTGGGGAAACAAACAGCCTCCGTCTGCAGAACATTCAACAATGGAGGCCGGGGCAACAGGGCAGGGCCAGAAAGGGAGCCAGCGATCGACCACACATTCGCTCCATAAGACGCACAGACATTTCCCCTTACCTTTTAGGAGGAAAAAAGTGCGTCTTCTGGAGCGAAAAATACAGTAAATTAAGGCTGGCTGAGTTACTTTGACACTTGAGGTAGAAAATCTGCCCAAGCACCTTATCCTGGGAGTGAAAATGCCAGAATCGTAAGTTACATAACGATTTGCAGCCACGCCATACACTTAACACACCATGATTCCACATTAAACAGTCGTGGCTTCCCCCCAGAGCGGCCTGGGAGCTGTAGTTTGCGAAGGGTGCCGAAAGTTGCTAGCAGACCCCGCTGGTCCTCTCACAGAGCTGCAATTCCCAGAATGATTTAACGATTGATCCTTCTTCCCAGGGAATTCTGGGAATTTTAGTTCTGGGAAGGGAATGGTGGTGGTGGGGTCTCCCCACAGCACCGTTAAAAAACTACAGTTCCCAGAATTCTTTGCAGGCAGCCTTGGTAAACAGTACAGTGGTACCTCAGGTTAAGTACTTAATTCGTTCCGGAGGTCTGTTCTTAACCTGAAACTGTTCTTAACCTGAAGCACCACTTTAGCTAATGGGGCCTCCTGCTGCCACCACACTGCCACCGCATGATTTCTGTTCTCATCCTGAAGCAAAGTTCTTAACCTGAAGCACTATTTCTGGGTTAGCGGAGTCTGTAACCTGAAGCGTATGTAACCTGAAGCGTATGTAACCCGAGGTACCACTGTACTTAAAATCTATGGTGCAGACATGCCTTGAATTTGACTGCCTGAGGTGAGTGCCTCCCTCTGCCTTATAATTGTGCTGGTTCTGAGTGGACCTTGGAGTTTTAGAGGAAGAAAAAGAATGCAGGTCCCAGAAGCGTGAATTTCACCTGTCCTCAAATAACAACCCGTAAAACTTAAACACTTGCAAATGTCGCCTCTGGGCAGAAGCAACTAGAACCCAGGAATCCTGACTTGCAGCACCTTGCCTGACGGGCAAATTATTCTCTCTCTCTTCTCTCCCCCCCCCCAACAACCCCCATCCTCAAAAGAGGCTGTTGGCCAGCGATTTCCCCTGTACTAATTACCATCTTTGACCCGGGGCCAATTTCCTAATCAATCGCATTAGCGCAATTAGCAGCAGTTTTTAATGCCGCCAGCAAAGATCTTCCCGGGGCTTAGCCAGGGAAAAATATTAAGGTCATGTTGATTAATCAATCAGCGGTTTATTAAAACATCTGGAGGGAGACCAATTGTTTAAATTGGCCCTAATTTGACAAGTAAAATGGAGCCTGATTTTTCAGTTCTCTTCCCGCCCCCACCCCCCAGTCACCCAGTGTGGAAGAAATGGGATGAAGGAAGGGGTGTGGGGGACAGCAAGCATAAAACTGAATTTGCTTAGGGTTATTTTATGGGGCCTTGAGTGTTTGCAGTGCTCTGCAGAGTGCAAAGGGGACATGTTCCTGCTGCCTAGTTGCTTACGATCTAAAATTTGACATGGGGGAAATGAGAGAAGGGAACCAGGAGGGTTTGGAAGTTCTGCTTTAATATTTCTTGTAAACCCCTGGAGGTCTTACTACGATCCGGAGGTATGTGGGTTTTGCAAAATAAATAAAAAGAGTGTTTGGAAGCTCCCTCATAGCTGTCAACTTTCAGATTTGAAAATAAGGGATCAGCAGCCTCGAAAATAAGGGATCAGCAGCCTCACCTGTCCCGGGGACAGTCTACAGGATATCTAACAATCCGGGATAGCAGCGGGAATCAGCGAGAAACGGCGCTGGAATAAGGGAATTTCCCGCAAAAAAAGGGAAGGTTGACAGCTATGAGCTCCTTCCTTGTCCCTCGCGAGAGATCAGGCTCCGAATTAAAGTTTGCCCCGTCTAGGTGACAGAGTTGTGGAGTATCACCAAACACGAGGTTGCCCTTGAAGGCACAGACAGGAAATTCATTCCGATTTATCCAGAATGCAGCCTGCAGGATATTTTGTTCGGAGCAAGCAGGTCACATCACATTAGGCCAGTCCTTGACCAGCTGCCTTGTTGCCAATTCAGTTTCTGAGTTTAGTTCAAGGAGCTCCCTTTCAACCGTTAACGCCCTGCCTAAAAGGAGCTGTAGTTTGCAAAGGGTGCTGGGAGTTGTTAGGAGCTGCTGTTCCCAGAGGGAAGAGGGATTCAACCGCTCTGGGAATTGTAGCTCTGGGAGAGGGGAATGGGTGGGTGTGTGTGTTTCCCAACACCTCTCAGCACCCTTAATTAACTATAGTAGTACCTTGGTTCTCAAACGCCTTGGTACTCAAACAACTTGGAACCGAAACACTGCAAACCTGGAAGTGAGTGTTCTGGTTTGCGAACCTTTTTCAGAAGCTGAACGTGCTCCGTTTTGAGTGTTACGCTTCCGATTTGAGTGCCACACATCCGTTTTAAGTGTTACACTGAGGTCTGTGTGTTTTTGCTGTTTATTTTGCGTTTTTGTTTTTGCGGCTCTTTTTTGTTTTGTTTCTGCAACTGTGTGGAACCCGGTTCAGCTACTGATTGATTGATTGTGTGACTGCAGCACATTTTTTATTGCTTCCATCTTATGGATCAATGGTCTCGTTAGATAGAAAAATCCATGTTAAATTGCTATTTTGGGGGTTGTTTTTAAAAGTGGTGGAACAGATTAATCCATTTGCATTACTTTCTGTGGGAAAACGTGCCTTGGTTTTGGAACGCTTTGGTTTTGGAACGGAGTTCTGGAACGATTAAGTTTGTGAACCAAGGTACCGCTGTACAGGTCCCATAAGTCTTTGGGGGGAAGCTGTGGCTGTTTAGAGTGGAATCACAGTGCTTTAACATTTGTGATGCTTTATGTAGCCAGAGAGACTGTCCTGAGCAGCAGCCCCTGACAGATGACACCCAAGGGAATGTAGCCCCTGATGGAAGCAAAAATTCCTGTCTCCGATCGGTGTACACAATGGGTGTCTCGTGCACAGAATCAAAAAAGAGAGACATGATCTAAGAGCCCACCCAGGGGCATCATTTAGTTGCCTATCCTTACGTTCAAAGCTTTTCTGATTTTTATCTGTGTTTCAGTCACGATAGTTTCATAGAATTATAGATTTTGAAGGGGACCTAAAGGCTCATCAAGTCCAACCCCCTGCAGTGCATGTACATAAATTTGTTTTTTGAATGGTCTTGTAGATTTCAGCTCCTGTTTTGTCTGCAGCTCCTTTTGCACACCATTAGCGATCTCTTTCATTAAGCCCTTCGCGAATCTTCCAAATGAATGAGCACGTAAGGGGGAGACGAGTTTGACAGCTTGAAAATGTTTATTTCTTCCTTGCAACAGGGAAACTTTCGCCTGTACTTTGCCTGAATGTGGGTCAGACGATCGGGAGCTGGAGAAAACTGCCCTTGGCTGGCCCAGTTTTGCCTGCTGGTGGCCGACTCCCTGTTCTTAAATCGTTGCATTTTGCAGTTTCACCCTGCATTCTTATTTTCGTCATGCATTCTCATTTTAATAGCACCATCGCTGCATGCATGACAATGCGCCCAGCAGTGCGAACAGAGGGAGAGCCCTTTCCCAGAAGAGCTTATAACAGAAAGAGTTGGGGAAGGAGGGGAGAGGCGAAAGAACACAACAGCTGAATATGGGCAGATCCAGTGGGGCTGCTGTTTGACAGCCCATGCAGCTGGCCTCTCTACCCAGCCTCTTCGGGACCCCGGACAGAAGTCCTTCTCCTGACCCAGGGGCATTTTCTCCACCTTCTCCCTCTGCCTGTATTGGAGAAGGGCTGCGTCTCAGTGACAGGACACCTGCTTTGCATGCAGAAGGTCCTTGGCAGCGTCTCCAGGCAGGGCTGGGAAACGGCCCCTGCCTGAAACCATGGAGAGCGGCTGCTGCCAGTCATTGCGGGCAACATTGAGGTCTGTGGAAGCAGCTCCCTGTGTTTCCATTTCCCGTTACCTCCCTTGCGTGCGACTTTTCCTTCTCAAGCGTCGCTGCCCTCGGTCATGTTCTGGATGGGGCGGTGGGGGTGTCTGTTCGCACTTGGGGGTTAGAAGTGCTCTAAAAGAGGATTGGACAAATTCACAAGAGGGTAATAATATAATAAATAAATAGTAATAATAATAATAATAATAATATTTATATCCCGCCCTCCACAGCTGAAGCCGGGCTCAGAGCGGCCAACAACAATAGAAGCAACACGGTTCACGTAAAATCACAATCAATCAATAGAAATGCATTCTAAAATCAATTCATTCTAAAATCAATTCAGAATCAAATTAATGGCAACCATTGGGCTAGAGTTCTGTGAGGATTACCAAGGGAAGGGGTCAAACTGCTCCTTGGCCAAAGGCCTGGTGGAACAGCTCCATCTTGCAGGCCCTGCGGAAAGATGTCAAGTCCCGCAGGGCCCTAGTCTCTTATGACAGAGCGTTCCACCAGATCGGGGCCACGGCCGAAAAAGCCCTGGCTCTGGTTGAGGGCAGCCTAACCTCCTTGTGGCCTGGGACCTCCCTGATGTTTTTGTTTGAAGACCGTAAGGTCTTCAGCAGGGCATACCAGGAGAGGCGGTCCCGTAGGTACAAGGGTCCTAGGCCGTGAAGGGCTTTAAAGGTTAAAACCAGCACCTTAAACCTGATCCTGTACTCCACTGGGAGCCAGTGCAGCTGGTATAGCACTGGGTGAATGTGATCCTGCGGCAAGGACCCCGTAAGGAGTCTCGCCGCGGCATTCTGTAAGGCTGTCAGTGAGGCTCTGCTTCCACGGTTGGAGGCGGCAAAGCTTCTGAACACCAGTCGCTGGAAACCATAGGAGTAGAGAGTTGATCTTGTGCTCAGGTCTTGCTTGTGTGCTTCCCATGGGAAGCATCTCTTTGGCCACTGTGAGAACAGGATGCTGGCCTGGAAGGGCTATTGGCCGGATCCAGCAGGTTCTCCTTATTATCTCAGACAGATTTCCCCCAGCAAGGTGCTTCTTACGTCCTTGCTCTCTTCCCCAGTAAGCAGACCACGGCCGTGGGTGTGAGAGACAGACAGAGAGAGATGGATGGACCTGGGTGCGTGATGATTTAGGCACCCGGCGTTTGCCATCAAGTCCCTTGGCTGCACGCCCTGTCCTCTCGCTTCTCAGTGGGTACCGAATCGCCCTCAGCCTGGCAGAGAGCCAGGTGCCAGCCCCAAACTCAGTTGCTGAAGCCCAGCCTTACCACGACTCCTGTCTCTTCCACCCCCAACCAGCCCGGTGGAGGGAGGGAGGTGGAAGAATGTCTGATCCCTCAATTTCCCCCCTTGCAAGAGTGACTCGCCCACGCTTGGCCTCCATCCATGGTTGCGCCACCCCCGGGCCACTCAATCTAATTGACCCAGATTGCCTCACGTTGGCTGGATGTGTGGAGTCCCCCTTGTTCCCGGCTGATGTTTGAGTCGGAAGACAGGGTACTTTTGGCTTGCAGAGTAGGAGCAAGAAGACAGGCGAGGGCTGGCTGGAGTGCGGATTATGGGAACAAAGTGAGCATAAGTTTAGCGCCACCCGTCTTGCCCCTATGCCCCCTTCTTCTTCTTCTTTTATACATTTTAATTGGTTTTTTAATATATCATTTCCAGCAGTCGTATAACATAACTTCTTATCTTATACAATGTATTAGACTTCCATCAACACCTCTGATGATTTTTCGTTCTTATCACTTACTCTGCATTTCTAAATTTCTCTATTACTCTTAATTGTTATTAACTAATAATTCCCCCATAGTCTTTCTTGCAATATTTCAAATCATCCTCCTTACAAAACTTCTTGCAGTCCTACCAGCGTAATCTGTTCATTACAATTACTTTTCAAATAGTTCATATATTTACTCCAGTCTTCTAAGAATCTCTGATTCCGCAGGTTTCGGATCCTTCCTGTTAATTTATCTAATTCTGCATAGTCCATCAATTTCATCCTCCATTCTTCTTTCGTCGGTAATTCTTCTTGCTTCCATTTTTGTGCCTAATGCCCCCTTCTTGTGCTGCTGGTGCTGGTGGCTGGCGACCTTGATGCTTTATTTTAATCCTGGTCATCCTCTAAGGAGAACTTTGTTCTTATATCCTCACAGCAACCCTGCCATGATGGCTAAGGTGAGAGACAAGTGACTGGCGCAAGCTTTACGACTGAGGACAGATTTGAACCCAGGTCTCTCCAGTACTAATCGGGCGCTCTGCCCACAACATGGTGCTGACCTTGCTTGGCATGTTTCTCTGCCGCAGCTTCGCACTGCAGCTTCGCTCCTTCTCAATATTAGGTCCCCACCTGCCAAATGGGGGATACAGACCTACCTGGCCAGGCTGTTGTGAGGTTTGCTGAGGATGCATGGAAAAGGTTCCACAGCTGTGTATAAAGACTAAGCAAGTGCTTACGACTTTGCATGTGGTCTTCCCTGGAGATGTTGTTGTTGTTTAGTCGTTTAGTCGTGTCTGACTCTTCATGACCCCAGAGCACACCAGGCACTCCTGTCTTCCACTGCCTCTCGCAGTTCGGTCAAACTCATGCTGGTAGCTTCAAAAACACTGTCCCACCATCTCGTCCTCTGTCGTCCCCTTCTCCTTGTGCCCTCAATCTTTCTCAACATCAGGGTCTTTTCCAGGGAGTCTTCTCTTCTCATGAGGTGGCCAAAGTATTGGAGCCTCAGCTTCAGGATCTGTCCTTCCAGTGAGCACTCAGGGCTGATTTCCTTCAGAATGGATAGGTTTGATCTTCTTGCAGTCCATAGGACTCTCAAGAGTCTCCTCCAGCACCAGAATTCAAAATATCCCTTCAGATATTTTCCAGTAATTCCCTGCAGGCATTTTCCACAGAGAGCCCCAGAGTTCCAGGAACTGATCTTGGGATCTTTTGGCCAGGTGGCACAGAATATTATTCCCTCCATTCTTCTTCCTACTGTCGCCCTCCCACCTCCAAATTATGAGGCATCGGTTCGACCCCTTCCCAGCTAACTTTGCCAGCAAGGAGCCAAGAGACGGGTTTGCTCTTTGCCTTTCAGCTGCAGCTAATTCTCCCGCTGCTCCGACTGCGCAAAAGGGGGTTTGCAGCTGCTCGGCCGTAATCCGCCGCGATTCCACTGGCTTTATTCTCCCACATAATTACACACTTGGGGGAAGAATTCAGTGATTACTCCAGCTCTGGACGACTCTCTTTTTTGTGACTCCAATAATCCCGCCAGATTTTGACATTAACCCCCTCGCGGCTTCTGCTTCTTCTTCTTTTTTGAAAGGGGGAAGGAACGCTTCCCTCCCCCTTACACTTTTGCCGGAAGAAGGGAGACTCCGCTGAATTAGGAAAGGATAATATTCCGTGCCCTCCAAAATGTTTGGCGGTTATAGTAGTGTGTGCAGGATTCAGCCTCCATTTTTCTGGGTCTGTTGTTTGCAACGAAAGATACTCTCAGCCCTCACGGGTACAGTGGTACCTCGGGTTACAGATGCTTCACGTTACAGACGCTTCAGGTTACAGACTCCGCTAACCCAGAAACAGTACCTTGGGTTAAGAACTTTGCTTCAGGATGAGAACAGAAATCGTGTGGCGGTGGCAGCGGGAGGCCCCATTAGCTAAAGTGGTACCTCAGGTTACGAACAGTTTCAGGCTAAGAACGGACCTCCAGAACGCATTAAGTTCTTAACCCGAGGTACCACTTTTCCAGGGAGAAAAGTACCACTTTTAGAAGGAGAAGCCTGCAACTGTGCAGGCAGCTGACCTCTGAAATCTGAGGGGTGGGAGCTGAGCAGGTTTTAAAGTAATCAAGGATGGATTTGGGGCCTTGCTTCTCTAGAGAGCCAGTGTGGTGTAGTGGTTAAGAGTGGTAGTCTCGTAATCTGGTGAACCGGGTTCGCATCTCCTCTCCTGCACCTGCAACTGCTGGGTGACCTTAGGCTTCTCAGCCCCACTCACCTCACAGAGTGTTTGTTGTGGGGGAGGAAGGGAAAGGAGAATGTTAGCCGCTTTGAGACTCCTTCAGGTAGTGATAAAGCGGGATATCAAATCCAAACTCTTCTTCCCCACCCGCAAGTAGAATAAATCATGCCAGATGCATAGCAATGGGGGCAAATGTGATATATAAATGTGATATACATGGATATCTGTCTTATACTGAATCAGACCATCTGGCTCATTATTGTCTGCACTGACTGGTAGCTGTTCTCCAGCGGTTCAGGCAGGGGTGTCTCCCAGTCCTATCTAGAGGTGCTGCTGCATTTGAACCCGAGGCATTCCACATGCAAGCTTCTACCACCGAAATCCAACCCTTCCCCACAGGAGTTCCAGCTTGGCCCCTCGACTGTGGGTGCCCGGGGGCTGTGGGTGCCATGCAACATGCATGGCCCTGGCGCCAAAATTTGTGGGTGCCCGACCCCTTCATGGGGAATTTTGTGGGTGCTCCGAGCCCCAGGGAGCTGTCACCTATGCTTCTCCATTTGAAATTGAAAAGCTACTTGGTTATAGCTGGGACCTCCAGAGCAGGCACAGGCAAACTTGGCCCGCCAGATGTTTTGGGACTACAACTCCCATGATCCCTAGCTAACAGGACCAGTGGTCAGGGAGGATGGGAATTGTAGTCCCAAAAACATCTGGAGGGCTGAGTTTGCCTGCTCCAGAGTGTGGCCTGGCATAGAATGAGGTCCATTTCTGAGCCAAGAAAGCTTAACTTTTGGAAAAGGGGGGGAAAGGGTAAGTTACTTCTTTTTCTGAAGAAGGGTATCAGGGGACTTGCAGATGATGCAGACACAGTTCACCCATTTATTTATTTAAAAAATTCTGGCCCCCAAAACAGGTGTTCCCTTAATTTTTCAGATTTTCAGATTTCATTTTTTTCATCCATGAGAGCTTTTATGAGGATTGCTGAGCAGAGTTTGCCCATCAGTACAAATGAGAAAATATATGCAGATGTGCCTAATTTTTACAGAGTGCAAAAATTAGTTTTGGCTTTACACAGATTGCGCCCCCCCCAAAACCCTTGCAGTTTAGATAGCAGTGTAACCCAGAATGGTAGTAAGGAACTGGCAAAAATCTACCATGGATTAAAAGCAGTGTCAATCAGGATATGATGGGGATCGGATGTGGGTCAAAGCAACAACTGCTTAATAATATTTTGGCAGCTTGAGTGGAGTTTGGAAGGCAGGGGCTCTTAATTTTGTTGGGTTTTTTTCAGGTTTCCACCTTGAATCTGGTGATCTTTAGCTTCTTCAGAATCTGTGGCTTCTTAAACATACCGCTCTTTTGAAGCAAGCTCCTTGTCCTCTTGGGGGTATGAAAGCCTCCACTAAGTCAGGGAGTTAAGAGCTCCCAGTATGTTTCTGAGCACAATTCAAAGTGTTGGTGCTGACCTTCAAAGCTCTAAAAGGCCTTGGCTCAGTTACTCCCATCGTTCAGCCCGGACACTGAGGTCCAGCTCCAAGGGCCTTCTGGCGGTTCCACACTGCGAGAAGTGAAGTTACAGGGAACCAGGCAGAGGGCCTTCTCGGTGGTGGCGCCCTCCCTGTGGAACACCCTCCCACCAGATGTCAAGGAGATAAACAACTGCCTGACTTTTAGAAGACATCTGAAGGCCACCCTGTCTAGGGAAGCTGTTAATGTTCAATGCTTTATTGTCTTTTTATATCTGTTGGAAGCTGCCCAGAGCAGCTGGAACAACCCAGTCAGATGAGTGGGGTACAATTGTTGTTGTTGTTGGCCTCCAATCAGGTTCCACTATCCCTACACCAACTGCTACTCCTGAGTTACCTTTCCTCTTGATGCCAGAGGAACGATCTTGCAAAATATTTGCTCTGATTTAGTTAGCACAGCTGTCCTGCTACTTCCACCTGCAGTAGCTTCTTTAAGAAAACACTGGGTTTTGTAACAGGAGGGAGTCCATTCTTAAAATTGTGTGTGTGTTTTCTAATCAGAGTTGGAGAACTGGATTCACTATATACTTTTCTCTCTGATTGGGACTGCCCTTTGCCATAAGGTCCCAGGGTGGGTTCCAACAAGGTGAAAACACAATATTTAAATCGGAGGAAACAATTTACAATCAGAAGGTGGGGGGAAATTATATCTCGAGTGTCAAAGGCCAGTGCGGTGAGATGGAAATAACAAATTCAAATAAGCAGTTCCAGAAGATAACAAATGAAACAGGAGTTTCCAGCTACCTCTTGCTTAAGAACACAGATGAAACAGTTTTAACACATATGGGATGGGAGATGCCTCTTGTGAGGTGACTCAACAGCTTGGGTGCCACCACTAAAGAGGCCCCGTCCCTGGTACCTGCCTGTCTGACCTGCAAAAGCAAGAGCAGGGCCTTTGGTGATCTCAGAAAGTGGGTGGGCTCATTGAGAAAGGAGCCGTCCGTTTGCTTATTTATTTTTTATTAAATTTGTTAGTTGCTTTGTCTTGCCCAGGGAAAACCAAAGCAGCAAACAAACAAGCAGATTTTTAGAAAACCCACTTAGATGCTTTGAAGGCAAGAGGAAAGAGAAATAGTGTAAAAACATCCACTTCTGAAAGGCCACAGATAGTCGAAGGCCAAAGGCCTGGTTATAGAGGAAGGTTTTTGCCTGGCCCTTAAAAAATATATGTAAGTGTGGTGTAGTGGTTAAGAGCGGTAGTCTCCTAATCTGGGGAACCGGGTTCGCGTCTCCGCTTCTCCACATGCAGCTGCTGGGTGACCTTGGGCCAGTCACACTTCTTTGAAGTCTCTCAGCCCCACTCACCTCACAGAGTGTTTGTTGTGGGGGAGGAAGGGAAAGGAGAATGTTAGCCGCTTTGAGACTCCTGAAGGGGAGTGAAAGGCAGGATATCAAATCCAAAACTCTTTTTCTTCTTCTCTTCTTCTAATGAAGGTACCAGGCAAACCTCCTAGGGAGAGCATTCCACAGATAGGAAGCCACATCAGAAAAGTCCCTGTTCTCGTGTTGCCGCCTTCCTGACCTCTCGTGGAGGGGGCACACAAGGAAGGGCGTCAGATGATGACCGCAGGGTCTGGGTCAGTTCATAGGGGGAGGGGCGGTCCTTGAGGTGTTGGGGTCCTGAGCCGTTTTATACGTCAAAACCAGCACTTTGAATTGGGCCCGGAAACTAATTGGTGGAGCTCAGCAAATAGAGACTCGGCTTCTAAATGGCTGCGGGGCAGGAATCTGGCTGCCTTAGAACAACCCTTTACTCTGGTTCCCTTAGAACAACCCTTTACTCCTGATAAGGAAAATTTCGGGTTGAGAGACTACTCAACAGCCCGGCTCGCCGGGATACAGGTCCCCCACGGGTCCATGCGGTCAGTAAAAGAAGGAAATTCCAGCCAAGTACCGTATTTTTCGCTCCGTAAGAAGCACCTGACCATAAGATGCAACTAGTTTTTAGAGGAGGAAAACAAGAAAAAAAAAATTTGGAACGAAACAGTGGATGTATGATTTTTGTGGTTCATGCTGTGGCCACAGACATGTGATTTGACGGTGAGTTTGGGGTAGCCCAATGCAAAAATCCTAAGAATCCATGTGGATCCGTGCTTTGTAACCACGTTTTTGTGCCATTGCATGATCTGCTTTTCGCCCCTGGGCAATTCAGCTTCAGGGACCATGCATTTGCTCCATAAGACGCATAGACATTTCCCCTTACTTTTTAGGAAGAAAAAAGTGTGTCTTATGGAGCGAAAAATACGGTAATTTGGAGCAAAACAGCAGTCAGTAGACTTATATCCTTTATTGTTGCGCAGCAGGTTCAAACTTCCCACAATATCCCAGAATACAGTTCGTACAGCATCATTGATACATCATCTTTCGTGTCCTCACACTTGAGGGATTATGGCAGGAGGTGCCAGGGGGAAGAGTCCTTGTTCCAAGGGCAAAATGGCGTAGGAATGGAGGAACTTGGCAAAGGGGTTGATTTCATATGATTTATAAAGCTAGGTATCTTCCCTGAGCTGTCAAGTCAGAAGGATACATTCAGGCATAATATTTGTAACATTTAACAGCTTTAAAGATGTGCCCCCTGCCCTGTAATTTCTGTAACACTCCCCTCCATAGAAGTGAATGGTGACCCTTCTCTCCTGTGTGCCATTTGCTCCCCTGTAAGTCAGCAAAAAGTCCAGGATGTGAGCAGGCAGGCCTTGCGCTGTTAGGTCTTAGGCGTAGCAAAATAAATTCATTTAAATAGAGCTTCCTCCTGCTGTGGAATGGAGGGAGGGGAAAAATAACATGTTTTAAGAGATTAAGAACCATTGTTCAGTGGAGGGTGAAATATTATGATTATTGCACGTTGACAGGACAAAATTACTGTGTGGATTGCGGTTGTGATGGTGCTTGCATGTGCTGTCCACCCCCCCATCTTCCTCCCCTACTGTGGGCCTTGTTTTCGCACAATGCACACCGCGGAATCAGTTCTTCGGTTGCTGTTTTCGTTCAGGTGTGGCTGTAGGCTGCCTTTGGGCTGCTTCTCCGCTAACACTGGAGCACATGAGCGCTGCATCAAATTCCTTAATTTATTTGGAAAAAAGTAAGTTCCTAGACCTCAGTGTGGCCACATGGAGATTTAGGAAAGTCATTTCTGCACTGGGCTCCGTCTTTAACTCTCTTCCCCCCACCAAACTCGGAAGCTGCGAAAGGAAAGGGGGGAAACCGAACCCCCAAAGGCAGTGCAAGAATTTAGGACAGAGATAAAGCTCAGGTATCAGGAACCTGTGGCTATCCACAGATGTGGCTGGATTCTGTCACCCCCGAGACCTGGCTGGGGCCGATGGGCCTGGAGACCAACACTAGGCCACTCATTCTCACAACAGCCCTGAAAGGTGTTGTTGTTGTTGTTGTTGTTGTTGTTGTTTAGTCGTGTCCGACTCTTCATGACCCCATGGACCAGAGCACGCCAGGCACTCCTGTCTTCCACTGCCCCCCGCAGTTTGGCCAAACTCATGCTGGTAGCTTCGAGAACACTGTCCAACCATCTCCTCCTCTGTCATCCCCTTCTCCTTGTGCCCTCCATCTTTCCCAACATCAGGGTCTTTTCCAGGGAGTCTTCTCTTCTCATGGGATGGCCAAAGTATTGGAGCCTCAGCTTCATGATCTGTCCTTCCAGTGAGCACTCAGGGCTGATTTCCTTAAGAATGGGTAGGTTTCATCTTCTTGCAGTCCATGGGACTCTCAAGAGTCTCCTCCAGCACCATAATTCAAAAGCATCAATTCTTTAGGCTTGTGTTATTCTTAGAAGCCCCGTTCTGCAGCTGGGGAAAGAGGGGGATGAGACTGGCAGGAATCAGTGCCTAAGGCTGCCTCAGTTCGAGACTGAGTGGGAGCCCACCCAAAATTTATCCAATTTGCATTTTTCGCCTCAGTTCTCATGAGGTTGAACTTTGCCTGGGCTGCGTCTTCTCAGAACTCCCTTGAGAGCTTCCTTGATACCCTTCCTTGATGCTCCTCCATCTCACCAAACTCCCCACACATAGTAAGCTAGCGTGTCGGGGGGGAAGCCAGGATTAAATATCCCTCTCTGTCACGTGCAGCTTTTCTATATTCAGGGGAGCTGGTTACTTGAAGGAGTGTTCTGTTGTCTGTTCCTTCACTTGCTGCCTGCAAAACAGTATGGTTTGATGACCTTGGTGAGGATTCAAATCTTGTCCTGGATTCAAATCTAGCAAGAGCCACGAACTCTCCAGGGGCTTTCAGGCTAAGTCATTCCTAGGCCTTTGTTATTCTCTGTCTGTGAAATGGGCACACGAATGACCCATCTTTCAGGTGTTTAAAATTCCCTGGAAATAATAATTGGAAATGTCAAGCCCTTTCTCTACTCATCCCTTATCCAACATGTTTTGCAAAAGGAATAAAAATTTTGCAGATCATTCCAGATTGCTTAATTCTGATTGCAGAATTTGGATGTTTACAGAATTTGCAGATAATCTGATGCCGTGGTCTTCAGCTGGTCCAAGTCTGAGACCCACCTCTGAATTCCAACTTTGGACCCTTTTTCACTTTTGATGTTTGATAGTGCTAATAAGGCACATTAAAGGTAAAGGTAAAGGGACACCTGACCATTAGGTCCAGTTGTGGCCGACTCTGGGGTTGCAGCGCTCATCTCGCTTTATTGGCCAAGGGAGCCGGCGTACAGCTTCCGCGTCATGTGGCCAGCATGACTAAGCCGCTTCTGGTGAACCAGAGCAGCGCATGAAAACGCCGTTTACCTTCCCGCTGGAGCGGTACCTATTTATCTACTTGCACTTTGACGTGCTTTCAAACTGCTAGGTTGGCAGGAGCAGGGACCGAGCAACAGGAGCTCACCCCATCGCAGGGATTCGAACCACTGACCTTCTGATCAGCAAGTCCTAGGCTCTGTGGTTTAACCCACAGCGCCACCCACGTCCAATAAGGCACATTATTAATCCTAAAATTGCTATTCACATGGCAATGCATGTAGAGCTGCCTTTGCATTACTGCCAAATGAAAACCAGTGATTTTTACACTTGATCTTAACCAAAAGACTGAAATGCTATTGAAAACCAGTGGTTTTTAAAAAGGATGACGATTTCAGTGGGACACTTGAGCATGTTTATGCTTCCAGATTTTGTTATGGTGTTGTGGCGGGGGGAAGTTATTAGAAAGACTAACTCACAACTAATTTCTACGGCTAAACTGGGTTTTTTTAAGTGGAAGCAGATGAGAGATTGCTTCACTTGCCAATTCTGGGTATTATTTACTAACCAAAATCCAAAACTTTGGTAGCATTAGTTGCTGAAATTGCACTTTTAAGCTTGTGTCACAACTGAGTTCAAAGAATTCTTTTTACATCCTGTATCTTAATTCCAGTGAATCTGGGCCCACATATATTATGGGGAAAACAGCCACTTAAAAGTTCAATTAATTGTTCTACATGTTGCAAAGCATTTCCTTTTATAGAAGCAAAATTTACTGCTTGATCTTCCTCCCCCCCACCAGCCAAAAAAAGCTGTGAAAAAAAGTTGGAAACGTGTCAGTGAAATTTTCTGATTAACATCTCAACTGGAGTTTCAACAATTTATGGAGTGGTTCTTTTTTTTAACGTCGAAATTTTGGGGAAAAAATCTTCCCTCCATTGAAGGGTTTCGTTCAAGCATCTGAACCCACCTGCAAGGCACACCATCCTTAAAAGCTGCAACAAGGTGTCTAATAAAGAAGCAGATATTAAAGATTCATTTCTCACAAACTCCCCAAACTTCATATTGAAGTCCAAATAATCTTGTTTGCACCTTTTCCTACATGACCACCATCTCACTTTTTATGAAAAACAGTAAGGGGTTGTGTGTTCAGAACCCCTTCCTTTGCAGAGGGCTTTATTAAGAGCATAGGCTCTGATGAAATTAACAAATTCACTTTTTTTAAAAGAACAAAATGCATGGAAGCCAATGCTTCGCTGTGGAGAGAGGGATGAATCCAAGTTCCATTTGGAGCGACATTGAGAACAAGTTGAGATCTGCCCACCCTCTCCTGCTGCCTTAGAGGGAGCAAAGTTTCCTTGTTTTTCAAAAACTATTTGTCCGTTATTATTATGGCTTGCTGGCAAGCTTTGTTTCTGAGTGCCTCGGCAGCGTCGATGGTTTCAAACTTCCACTTGCCAGCATCTCTCCACATTTCACACACTGAGGAATTGGCATGCTATTTCCCCCTCAGTCCTAGTGAACCCCTGTTTCCATGCATTGCTGGTCACATTTTTCATGTCCTTTTAGCTGTGGTGTCCTCTTTTGCTTTCTGGATTTCCCCGACTCTTTAGTGAACCCTGTTTTTGACACTGAGCAAGGGAGGGAAAAGTAAGAATCACCATTATATTTTGTGTTGTCTTATACTAAAAAGCACCGATGGCACCCAAAACGATTCAATCTCCCTCGTTTTCTCCTCCTCCTTCCTTCCTCTGTCATCTGCCGGTACCTTTCTCCCTCCTTCCTTCCTGTCGTTTTTGTCCTCTGTCACCTTGTCTAGTCTTTGCTTTCCTCTCTCCTAAATTTCTGCCTTCTTTTTCTCTGCCCTGTCCCTTTTGCCCCTCTCTCCCTTGCCTCAACTTTTTTCTCAGCCCTCCGTCAGCAGCTGCCCTCCTCTTGTCCTCTCGGCTGCCATTCTTCTTCCACCTTCTCACATATTTCCATCCTTCCTTCCACTCACCTGCTTTATTCCAGCTGCTGCTACTGCTGCTGTTGCCTTTCCTAGAGGCCTTTGCAGCCGTTCCACCCCGCTCATGACAGAAACAGCTACGATGCCATCTCTGCCCTCCTTCCTGCGCTGAAAATCTGCCCCGAGTTCAGCATTCACCCCTCGTAGCTTTCCAGAACAGGAGCTTCAAAAAAGCAAAGTGGGCCTGGACTGATATTCTGAAAAAGGAGTGTGTCAGTCAGGGACTGCTTGTGGCATTAGGAGTTGGCAACCCGTGCAGAGAGACCTGGAAATGGCTCCTGCTCTTTGCCTCCAGATCCTAGATCAGACATCCCCAAACTTGGCCTTCCAGCTGTTTTGGGACTACAGCTCCCATCATCCCTAGCTAACAGGACCAGTGGTCAGGGATGATGGGAATTGTAGTCCCAAACAGCTGAGTTTGGGGGTGCCTGCCCTAGATTCAGGGAGATGTTGATGTGGAATCCCTGTTCTCTCCAAGTCTCACATCTTGCAGACTCTTACGGCAACTTCCTGACCCCTCTCCCCACTGCCGCCTTCAGCCATGATGGCATCCAAGCTACCCCACCGCAATGGCCATTTCTGCATTCTAGTCCTCAGCGTACTTCCATTCATTCAGTTCGTTCAGCATACTTTCATTTCAATCATAGGGAGCCGGTCTTGGTGCAGCGGTTAGAGAATCAGACCCGGAGCCGGGAGACCAGGGTTCAAATCCCCACCCCCAAATTTGGGCATGAAGCTCACTGGCTGAGACCTTGTGCCAATCACTGCCTCTCAGCCCAGCCCTACCTCACAGGGCTGTTGTGGGGAATAAATGTGGAGAAGGGGGAGGAGAAATAGGTACCGCCACCTTGAGCTCCTTGGAGAGAAAATTGGGAGATAAATGCAATAAATTTGAAGAGAAGTCTCGAAAGCCATAGAAATAGACTGTAAAATAGACAGAGTGCCCCTGCTCCATAGAAAGCTCTCTCAGCAGAGGCACAGCTGTAGGATAAAAAGGTAAAGGTAAAGGGACCCCTGACCGTTAGGTCCAGTCATGGCTAACTCTGGGGTTGCGGCGCTCATCTCGCATTACTGGCCGAGGGAGCCGGCGTACAGCTTCCGGGTCATGTGGCCAGCATGACTAAGCCGCTTCTGGCAAACCAGAGCAGTGCACGGAAACGCCGTTTACCTTCCCGCCGGAGCAGTACCTATTTATCTACTTGCACTTTGACGTGCTTTCAAACTGCTAGGTTGGCGGGAGCAGGGACAGAACAACGGGAGCTCACCCTTCGCGGGGATTTGAACCGCCGACCTTCAGATCGGCAAGTCCTAGGCTCTGTGGTTTAACCCACAGTGCCACCCACGTCCCTTAGCTGCAGGTTAGAATAATAATAATAATGTTATTGTTATTGATAATAATATCCCGCCCATCTTGCTGGGTTGCCCTAGTCACACTGGGTGGCTTCCAACAAGCATAAAAATAAATAATAAAATATTAAATATTAATAGTAACAATCTGATCCAATATAAAAAGTCACAATAAGTTTAAAACAAACAACTTATATCAAATAAAGCAGTACATAATAATAATAATAATAATAATAATAATAATAATAATAATAAAACAGTTTACACTTATCAATTACAATAAAGAATTACTCGTCTATAATCAATAAAAATAACAGCAAATCGCAATGCACAAAACGTACAAAACCATGTAAAAGAATCAAATTGAGAAACGAGGACACGCATTTTATAAAAACTTTTTTAAAAAAACTATCCCTGAGCTCCTCTCTTCCCAGCTGCTGCTGCTGCTGCTGCTGCTCTCAAAGTCATGGTCTGGGAAAGGCTCCTGGGACTGGAGGCCGGAGCAAGGAGAGTGGGAAAAGCCACTGCCTGCAGAAAGTCTCTCTCTCCTCAGTTCTAGTATTCAGAAATATGTTATTGGAAAAAGGCCTTTGCCTTTCTCCTGTCGTAGTAGTTCCTTATTACATTCATATACCACCTTTTCTTCCAAGGATCTCAAGGCTGTGTACAGTGGTACCTCAGGTTACATACGCTTCGGGTTACAGATGCTTCAGGTTACAGACTCTGCTAACCCAGAAATAGTACCTCGGGTTAAGAACTTTGCTTCAGGATGAGAACAGAAATTGCGCAGCGGCAGCGAGAGGCCCCGTTAGCTAAAGTGGTGCTTCAGGTTAAGAACAGTTTCAGGTTAAGAATGGACCTCCAGAACAAATTAAGTACTTAACCCGAGGTACCACTGTACATGGTTCTCCACCCTCCCCATTTCATCCTGTGAGGGAGGTTAGGCTGAGAGACACTGACTGGCCCAAGGTCACACAGTGAGCTACACGGCCGAGTGGGGATTTGAACCCTGCTCTCCCAGGTCCTAGTCCAGGGGTCCACAAACTTTTTCAGCAGTGGGCCAGTCCACTGTCCCTCAGACCTTGTGGGGGGCTGGATTTTGAAGAAGAAAAATGAACAAATCACTATGCCCCACGAATCACCCAGAGATGCATTTTAAATAAAAGCACACATTCTACTCATGTAAAAACACCAGGCAGGCCCCACAAATCACCCAGAGATGCATTTTAAATAAAAGGACACATTCTATTCATGTAAAAACACGCTGATTCCTGGACCGTCCGTGGACCGGATTTAGAAGACGATTGGGCCGGATCCGGCCCCCAGGCCTTAGTTTGCCTACCCCTGTCCTAGTCTGACACCCTAACCCAGGGGTCTGCAACCTTTAAGACAAAAAGAGCCACTTGGACCCGTTTCCGAAGAAAAAAACCTGGGAGCCGCAAAACTCGTCATTATAAAAATAACTTTTTTGTCACTTTTTTATTATTTCTTTGCTTGACCCCTCAGAATTACTCCTCCTCATAGAAATAAATGTTAAATTAACAAGTTACCTTGTTTTGTGTGTGTGTTCTTCACTCCCCTTCAAAACAGTGACCAGCGTAGATGCCCCCTTTCAATGCAATGACCAGCGTACATGCCCCTTACAATGTAGCGGGCGGGCGGGAAGGTGACGTCGGGACGGTGAGTGACTAACACACGCACCGCCCCCATGTGACGTCACAGCCAGTACAGCGCCCGCCACAGTGGGGAGTGTCGGAGCGCACAATGCGCCTCCTCCCCTCGCTAGTGTCCGCCCCGGAGCTGTGGCAAAGGTGTAAAAGAGCCACATGCGGCCGCGAGTTGCCGACCCCTGCCCTAACCATTACACCACCTTGGCTGTGACCACATGGCAGCCCTCGTGGAAGCTGATCAAATTAGGGTGCCTGGTCAACAGTTTTGTTGTGGTCCATTTGTGGGTCCCAGCTCGCTGGTTGGTGACCTTTGACCTGATGTGCTGACTTTTTCCTGCCACCTGTAGAGTCGGCTGTTTTGCTCCCTTGCCGATTCACACCGTATTTTGATCACATTTCAAAAACCGGGTCATCCCAGTCCAAGTTCACCATGCCAGCAGCTCCCACTGTCTCTGTGTCTTTGCCTTTCAGAGGTTTCCACTAATAATAATCAAATAATATAAGCTGTGTGGACGCGGGTGGCGCTGTGGACGCGGGTGGCGCTGTGGGTAAAACCTCAGTGCCTAGGGCTTGCCGATCGCATGGTCGGCGGTTCAAATCCCCGCGGCGGGGTGAGCTCCCGTCCTTCGGTCCCAGCTCCTGCCCACCTAGCAGTTCGAAAGCACCCCTAAGTGCAAGTAGATAAATAGGTACCGCTTTATAGCGGGAAGGTAAACGGCGTTTCCGTGTGCTGCGCTGGTGCTGGCTCGCCAGAGCAGCTTCGTCACGCTGGCCACGTGACCCGGAAGTGTCTCCGGACAGCGCTGGCCCCCGGCCTCTTAAGTGAGATGGGCGCATAACCCTAGAGTCGGACATGACTGGCCCGTACGGGCAGGGGTACCTTTACCTTTAATATAAGGTGCTTGTGTTTTCTGGGCAGCCTGTGGTTATCGTTTCCCCCTGCTTTATGGCTTTAAAAGCTGGCGATGTTGCAATCGTGTGTGTTGGTGGGGGGTGTATTTCTGTCCCCCTCCCCATATATTCCTCTCTCACTCTCCCCCCTCCACACCGTACCCTTCTTTTCCCCGTAATCCTAGCAGCTTTCTAATTCTTACATTAAATGCTTTTAATTATAGGAGCATTCTGTCTGACCCGCGGGGTTATTTCAAGAGAGAAAAATGAAGGAATTAAAGAAAATGACAGAGCAAATTGCGGCAATTAGCGGTGCTGGTATTGTTCCGAGTGTCTGTCAAGGGAGTTCTCTGTTTGTTAGTTACAAGTAAATTCGTACAGATAACGGAGACAGCCATTATAAATGCCATCTCCGAGGCTGCCTGGCGCTGCAGCTATTTTTCCTTTTTTTAAAAAAAAAAGAGGGGGAGAGAGAGAGATTTTCTTTGTAAAAATAATATTTCTCCTTGTAAAAATACTATTTCTCCTTGAAAGTGAGCTCTGATAGAGAATTGATTTCTCTTCCTGCCCTCCTTTTGCCCCAGTAAGTCCAGGATCATGGTTTTCTGGGTCTGTGTCTGCCTAGTCGAGCGTCAGACTGAAAGAGCCTTAGAGATGCAGTGAATGACCATTTGAGTTTGGGGGGGCAAGATTTCACCCAGGGCTTAACCCCACAGCCTGCTTCCCGTAGCTGAGGGCAAGCTGGGCGCTAGAGCCCTTTCCTTACACACAGAAACCCTCCCATGTCCATTTTCCCGGCATCTGCAGTTAAAAGGATGAGGAAGGCAGCGATCATAGGGACATGGGTGGTGCTGTGGGTTAAACCACAGAGCCTAGGACTTGCTGATCAGGTCGGCAGTTCGAATCCCCGCGACGGGGTGCGCTCCCGTTGCTGGGTCCCTGTTCCTGCCAAGCTAGCAGTTCAAAAGCACGTCAAAGTGCAAGTAGATAAATAGGTACCGCTCCAGTGGGAAGGTAAACGGCGTTTCTGTGCGCTGCTCTGGTTCGCCAGAAGCGGCTTAGTCATGCTGGCCACATGACCCAGAAGCTGTACGCCGGCTCCCTCAGCCAATAAAGCGAGATGAGCGCCGCAACCCCAGAGTCGGCCACGACTGGACCTAATGGTCAGGGGTCCCTTTACCTTTACCTTTAGGCAGCAATAGGGATGTCTATTTCCTGCCAGAGACCACGGAGGGCTGCTGCCAGCCAGAGCCAAGTCCACTGAGCTTGACAGAATAATGGCGTGACTCCCTGCAAGGCAAGCTTCACGTGTATGTATGAAAACCAGGTGTATAATTACAATTTTACTGAAGGCAAGTGGTGTCTCTGAGCATTTGAAGAATCGTAGAATTGGAAGGGACCACGGGGGCCAATCTAGTCCAGGAGTCTGCAACCCGCGGCTCTGGAGCCGCATGTGGCTCTTTTACACCTTTGCTGCGGCTCCGGGGCAGATACTAGCGAGGGGAGGAGGCGCACTGTGCGCCCTGACACTCCCCACTGTGGCGGGCGCTGTACTGGCTGTGACGTCGCATGGGGGCGGTGCGTGCGTTAGTCACGCACTGTCCCGACGTCACCTTCCCGCCCGCCTGCTACATTGTAAGGGGCATGTACGCTGGTCACTGCATTGAAATGGGGCATGTACGCTGGTCACTGTTTTGAAGGGGAGTGAAGAACACACACACACAAAAAGGTTGTTTAATGGTTTAGTCGTGTCCGACTCTTCATGACCCCCTGGACCAGAGCACGCCAGGCACTCCTGTCTTCCATTGCCTCCCACAGTTTGGTCAAACTCATGCTGGTAGCTTCGAGAACACTGTCCAGCCATCTCGTCCTCTGTCATCCCCTTCTCCTTGTGCCCTCCATCTTTCCCAACATCAGGGTCTTTTCCAGGGAGTCTTCTCTTCTCATGAGGTGGCCAAAGTATTGGAGCCTCAGCTTCACGATCTGTCCTTCCAGTGAGCACCCAGGGCTGATTTCCTTCAGAATGGAGAGGTTTGATCTTCTTGCAGTCCATGGGACTCTCAAGAGTCTCCTCCAGCACCAGAATTCAAAAGCATCAATTCTTCGGCGATCAGCCTTCTTTATGGTCCAGCTCTCACTTCCATACATCACTACTGGGAAAACCAAAGCTTTTACTATACGGACCTTTGTTGGCAAGGTGATGTCTCTGCTTTTTAAGATGCTGACCATTTTGCTACCCCACCTCAAAGCACCAAACGATCCGGTTTCTGCCCTGGCAAATTCCCGGCGGATCTTTTCGAACTCCTCTCCACCTGCATCAAAACAGCCCCAGGAATTCAGAAAGGTGGCGGAACAGAAGCCATCTTTTTCGGGCTCTGTACGGATTTCTCTAAGGGCCTCTCCTCTTGGCATCTCACAGTTGGGTGTCCTCGTCCGCAAGTCACCCCCCCCAACACCCCCTCTCTTTCGGCCCCTGAGCCAGGGAACTTCGCTGCAAGGGAGTGAAGGGGCTGAAAGGAAGGTTAAGCCGGGGTCTTGTGAGCTTTTCAGCTTTGCTGGGGAGCAGTGAATGCGGAGCTGATAAGTATTCTAATCCCATCTCCCAGGAATGTGCAGAGCACAATGGCAGGTCCTCGCTCTCCCCTCCAGACTTCCCCCTCCACACCCCCAGGGCTCTGTCCTTGTCTTCCCCCAGAGTGAGTGCCTGGTCCTTGCTTGTGTGCGCTCACCACCCCAGAGTGGGGTTTGTGCAAGCATCAATGTGCACAGATGCACATGCATGTAAAGAGAGGAGATGTGGATGACAGGCTTGGTTTATTGTTGTTGTTTTGTATGTCCCTGTATAAAATTGTCCCGGAATTGAGATGCAAATGCCCCTCTTAGTAACAGCTCTTGTTTTGCCAAATTACTTGGTAAATCTCTCTCTTTTTGTAAAAGATCTCTGTCTGAGGCTTCTCTCCTCTTCTTCACATTTCCCTTCTACCTTTAAATTACTTCTGGAAAAGAATCCCAACCTTTCTGCCCCTCCATTCCTCCTTCTTCTGTTTTTTTGGTAATGTTCAGGGCTTAAGAATTTGCTCTTTGGTGACCAGAAGAAACTGTGGGGAGGAGGGTCTCTGTCTGCAGCTGACATCTAACCCCGTGGTTCAGTCGCTTGAGATGCTTTCTTGCCTTTGAGCAAGATGGATGAGGTTTAGGATTGACATGCTTATATACAGAACTTAAAACACTTGACAGCTGATGGTCTACAAGCCTTCCTCAAGCACTGGCTGGGCTGCTGTGATGTCACAGCATGCGCACGCTTGTCACTGATGAACGAAGGAAAGGTCTTAGAAAAATGAGGAGGTCGGTGTGTGGGAAAGATTATCTTTGCACTTCATTTATTTATTGTGGGGACAGGTGGGGAGACTGAAACTTTGGTTGTCAGTCCCTGATCATTATCCCCTCAACAAATATAAGATGAAAGAGAGTTTATCCTCTTCCTCCTCCTCCTCCTCCTTCTTCTTCCTTTTTTTGGAAGTGGCTTCCTGACCTCAGAGATGTGGGTGTGGGATCAAGAAGCAGCAAGGGAATCTGTTTATGTTCAGAAGTACACTCTCCTTTGCAAACGTAAGCAGGAAGTAGCTGGTATCCTGTGGATTAAACCAGGGGTAGGCAACCTAAGGCCCGTGGGCCAGATGTGGCCCAATCGCCTTCTCAATCCGGCCCGCGGACGGTCCAGGAATCAGCGTGTTTTTACATGAGTAGAATATGTTCTTTTGTTTAAAACACATTTATGGGTTATTTGTGGGGCCTGCCTGGTGTTTTTACATGAGTAGAATGTGCTCTTTTATTTAAAATGCATCTCTGGGTTATTTGTGGGGCATAGGAATTCGTTCATATTTTTTTTCAAAATATAGTCCAGCCCACCACATGGTCTGAGGGATGGTGGACTGGCCCACGGCTGGAAAAGGTTGCTGACCCCTGGAGTAAACTCTCTTAGGACAAATCTCTTGCTGATAAGAGAGATCTTCAGTTCTGCAGTTCCAGCTTTAGGGGGGTGGGGGTGGGTAAGCTCCGTGCTGGAGCCAAACTTGCAATACGTGTTGCGGTTATTGTTGGGGTCCAAGAAGGATCTTCCAGGGCTGGCAAATTCCACATTCTCCCAATAATAATAATAATAATAATAATAATAATAATTTATACCCCACCCATCTGGCTGGGCTTCCCCAGCCACTCTGGGTGGCTTCCAAAAAAACATTAAAATACTGTACTACATCAAACATTAAAAGCTTCCCTAAACAGGGCTTCCTTCAGATGTCTTCTAAAGGTCTGGTAGTTGTTGTTCTCTTTGACATCTGGTGGGAGGGCGTTCCACGGAGGGAACTTTGCAAGTTCTCAGCCTCTCGAATCCCTGCCCTCCTGGTCACACCATGAGTCTCAATGCCATGGCACCAGCAGCTTCTCCCTGGCAAGTGTGGAGATCAGGGAGCCAAATACTGGGTGGTGGGGTGTCCAAGGCCTGACCTCTCTGATAGCGGGTTCCTTCTCTCTCTCTCTTTGACAGCTGCTGGCCGGAGGAATGTGAACACCCTGCTAACAGAGCTCTTTGAACAGCACTTAGGGGGCCACATTCTACAGGTGAGTACGGCTCACGTGACCTGCCTGTCTCTTACTGGTCTGACTCTGTTTGGCAATTATCTGCAGGATCTGATTTCTTTCCGCAGGGCCTGTAAGACAGAGTTGTTCCGCCTGGCCTTTGGCTTGGAATCAACTTGATCCCCTTCCCCTCTTTCCTCTTTCCTTTTTCCTTTCTCCTTCTGTGATGGAACTCCTATTTGGGGACTTCCCTGGCTTTTTTCTGGCCCACGTAGGACCAGTCTGGATAGTTAGCCTTGGTGAAGACTTGACATTTTAATCCCCAAAAAAGTTTTGGATTTGAGTTTCTACTGAAATGAGGCTGCATTTTAATGTTGTATTTTAATCTTGTTTTTAAGTTGTATTTTAATCCATTGTTTTAATGCCTGGTGTTAGCTGCCCTGAGCCCGGTCTTGGCTGAGGAAGGCGGGGAATAAATAAAATTTATTATTATTATTATTATTATTATTATTATTATTATTATTAAATTACTGTGAAGAGCCAATGAAGTCCAGATTCTGTCTGATCTCCCTCACCTCACCCGAAAGATTCTTCTCCTTCAATCTCTGGGCAGGCTCCGCCCCCTTCCTGAGCCACCATATTGCATTGAAATTCCACTAGTGCATTTATTTGGTCCCCCCCCCCACTTTTTATGAATTGGTATCCTGGCGTTCAATACTTTTTTTTTTTGGTCAAATGTATTTTGCAGAAAATCCTTGAGGCATCCAATTTTGAAAATAGTTTCCTCGTGCTACTTTTGGGAGAAGGGAGGGAAGTGAGCTTGCTTGCACAGTTCTTCCCTCTTTGTGGAGTTTTGTGGCCAGGCGGAAGCTAGCCAATTTCCCCCTCCATTCGATACGATATGAGACGATAATCTTTATTGTCATTGTCCCATACAGAACAACGAAATTTAAAAAATCTACATCAGACATTCAAAACCAACAAGCCTGCTATCCCAGCCTGGTTAACCCACTAAAAACTCTGATACCCCATAATTAAATACAGTATACTCCCACAGACACTACATTAGATAAAGGTAAAGGGACCCCTGACCATTAGGTCCAGTCGTGGCCGACTCTGGGGTTGCGGCGCTCATCTCGCTTTATTGGCCGAGGGAGCCGGTGTACAGCTTCCAGGTCATGTGGCCAGCATGACTAAGCCGCTTCTGGCGAACCAGAGCAGCGCACAGAAATGCCGTTTACCTTCCCGCCAGAGTGGTACCTATTTATCTACTTGCACTTTGACGTGCTTTCGAACTGGTAGGTTGGCAGGAGCAGAGACCGAGCAATGGGAGCTCACCCCGTCATGGGGATTCGAGCTGCCGACCTTCTGATCAGCAAGTCCTAGGCTCTGTGGTTTAACCCGCAATGCCACCCGCGTCCGACACTACATTACGCTGCATTTAAAACCAAAACTGGATTTGGATAGAAACTGTTTCTCAGGCAGCTGGTCCTAGTCTTTATAACCCTGTACCTTCTTCCAGAAGGCAGAAGCTGAAAGAAATCATTTCCGGGGTGCGCACTATCCTGCGCTATCTCTGCAGCTTTCTTATGGCACCTGGAAGCATAGATTTGATCCAAGGTGGGAAGAGTGCACCCAATTATTCTCTCCGCAGTCTTTACAACCATGGACAGCATTGTTTTTTCCCTGGCCGTGCAGTTCCCAAACCACAAACACAGACCATAAATTAATACACTCTCAACAGTACAATGGTAAAAATGCCATCAACATGTCCTTTGAGAGATTATTTTTCCGGAGGATTTTCAGAAAATATAACCTCTTTTGTGCTCTCTTCATCAGGTCTTTACTGTTTTCTCCCTAGATTAGGTCATCTCTCAACTCCATTCCCAGAAATTGAAACACCGAGAGCTGTTCCACGCACTTCCCCTCAATAATGAGTGGCTGAATATTCATGCCACCTATTGTTACAGCAGAACATTTCTGGTGCAGGGAGCTGTGCCATTTTGGTTTCCTTGTTAGGAGTTTATGGGTCTAAAACTCGACTTCTTACACCATGTCGCACAAGGCTTGGAGCCAGGGTTGGGAAGCCTGGGGCCCTACAGATTCCATCTCCCATCAGCCTCAGCTAGCATGACCAATGGTCAGGGGTGAGGCAAGCTGAGGTCTAGCAACCTCTGGAAGCTCACAGTTTCTGGCTCAGAGAAGGAGTTTACCGCAAAGCTAAGCAGGAATGTTCATTATCTCTTCCTGGGAAGAATAGAAAGCTCCTGATTTCCACAGTGACCCAGGCAAGTCCAGCGCCACCCAGTGGCTAAGCGATGCCACGACGCTATCCATGCATCTTTCGAGTCTTGACATTTTGAGGGCAGGCACCGGTGAAGCCGACGGATCGGGCTAATTATTTCTTGAGAGCACTCATTACTGCTGTCTCCTGGGGCTGTGGGCTAATTATCAGAAGTGGCATATGGTAATATTTTAAACAGCAATTTATCAATCCCCAGCCGATGGCTGCCCTTGTTGCACAGCCTGGCTCGTGACAGCTGAGGGGAAGTGTGTGAGCAGGGGAACAGACCCTGCATTGCATCTGTGCCCCACAAGCCCATGCACATGAAGGATCTGGGAGACTTGCCTCGTCACATTTCCAACAGGTCCCCCCTAATCTGGATGGAGTTTACTCTGTAGCTTTTAAAATCAGAGTCCAATCCTGTGCTACGTAAATGGTGTTTGCTCATTTCATCTTCCTAACATCCCTGCAAAGTAGGCTAGACAGAGAGAGAGAGACTTACTCAGAGAAGTCCCAGTCAAATGAATTCACCGTAGCCACGTTCATTCATTTGACTGGGTCTCCTCACAGTACGGCTAGTGTTAGGTACAGTCTCACCTGGTAGCAGCGCAGCCACAGATCCACACTGGAAGAAATATTTATTTGTTTTTTCACACTACTGGAAAACTTTGCTAGGGAAGCTATTGAAGGACTAAGACGCTCTGGAAGAAAATTGAGTTGGGCACTCCCTGTTGATGCACGTAATCAATTAAATGCAATTTGTTTACTTTAATTACATGCTGTTTGCAAGCCTTTACCTTATAGGGCAGATCGGGTACTCTGCTAGCCTCTTTGGTGTGGCTGGCAGCGGTCAGGATTTGGCCTTCCTTCTACCTTCTGCTACCTCAGCTAATCACGCAGTTTCACTTCATTTTAAAGCCCTCTCAATAGAGGCATGTTCTTGCCCCTTCTCCTCAAGGAGCTGTCAGAAAGAGAGAGAGGGAAAGGAAAGGAAAGGAAAGGAAAGGAAGAAAGAAAGAAAGAAAGAAAGAAAGAAAGAAAGAAAGATAGATAGATAGATTCTGGTTTCCCCCTCAATGTTTCCAAACGCTGTCCATCGAAACTTGGCAGGGAAGATGATGTTGATGATGATGATGATGATAATAATGATAATAATAATAATAATAATATTCTTATTTATACACCACCCATCTGGCTGGGTCTCCCCAGCCACTCTGGGTGGCTCCCAACAGAATGTTAAAAACACGATAAAAGATCAAAGATTAAAAACTTCTCTAAACAGGGCTGCCTTCAGATGTCTTCTAAAAGCCAGATGGTTGTTTATTTCCTTGACATCTGATGGGAGGGCGGGTGCCACCACCAAGAAGGCCTGATCCTTTCTTTTCCCAGGGGTCCCTCTCTTTCCAGAGACCCCGAGCCTAGCCCCCCTCCCCATTAGATTCCAGCTTGCCTGTCCAGCCCCCTTCTCTTTACCTGCCCCACCCTGCTTAAAACAACCACCCAGCTTTTAAAACCCTGCCATTTATCTTGGGAGGGGAAAGGCTGGAGGCAGTTCGGCAGCTGTTGACCCAGGGCTTGTCTGCACCATAGCCTGAGAGCAGCCTGCCATCATTGCTCTGCATTTGACTCACTGATTGGGACAAACTTGGGACTGGCAGGGGGTGGTGTGTGTGTGTGTGTGTGTGTGTGTGTGTGTGTGTGTGTGTTAGGAGAGGACTTAGCTTTGCTCTTTTCCAAAAGAGGCTACGGGAGTCAATCCAAGGTTTAAATTAAGCCAGGATGACACTTCCCCCTTAATTTACGTTTTCATCTTTCCAAAATTCTAACATTGCAACCTGTTCATTGAGGGGTTTTTTGAGCCTCGTCAGAACGGGTATTCCCCACCCCCAACTCCAGGTGAGAGGTAAAAAGGCAAATGGCCTCTGAGGATATACAGAGTACTTTCTTCAGAGTTGGAAGGAGAGGCTCCCTTTCCCTCTGCCTCTGTTTCAAATCAGCCATAGCTAGGGGTGTAAGGAAAGCACTGGTTTCTGATCTGCTCTGCATTTGTTGCTGTCCTGCTTCCGGGGTGGGGGAATGTTGTTTGCCTTGCTGTCCTCTGTGGTGGAACTTCGCGTAATTAACTACATGCTTAATGATGTTTTCATTACGTTATCTCCCCCCCCCCGCCCCAATTCATGTCCGTGCAAAGGAAGCAGAATGCAAATGAGGTGGAGGGGAGAACGATCAGTTGCGTATCTTTTGAGGACTGAAAACAACAGTGACTACAGATCATATTTGCCAGGTGCATTTTTGTTCTGGACACGGGACTAATAAGTGGATCTTGGCCATTTCCACATCCCTAGCTGTTAACCTGGTCCAGCCACAGATCGGTGAAGTGTGGCCTGCAATTAACTCATTTCTGAAGGCAGCGAATTGCCTTGCGCAGGGGTGGGCAACCTAAGGCCCAGGGGCCAGACGCGGCCCAATCGCCTTCTCAATCTGGCCCGCAGATGGCCCGGGAATCAGTGTGTTTTTACATGAGTAGAATGTGTGCTTTTATTTAAAATGCATCTCTGGGTTATTTGTGGGGCATAGGAATTCGTTCATTCCCCCCCTCCAAAAAAAATAGTCCGGCCCACCACATGGTCTGAGGGACAGTGGACTGGCCCACGGCTGAAAAAGGTCGCTGACCCCTGGTCTTGCTGGATCATCTCTAAGACCTGTGCGGTGTGAGCTCTTTTTTCCCAATGGGGGGGGGGGGACCGTTTGCTGCAGGAGATCACCAGCAGGGCATGAAGGCAACAGCCTACTACTGCTGGCTGCCTTTCTGCAATTAACACAAGAACCTGTATTGCACGAGGTTGCTCTGCTTTCTGCCTGGGAAGCTACTTTACACTGAGTCAGTTCCTTGGTCTGTCTAGTTCAGCCTTGCCTACACTGACTTTCAGCATCTCTCCAGGGCTTCAGAGAGGGCTTTCTCCCAAGCCATACCTGATAGGGAACCTGGGGGGGGGGGGGGGCTTGCTGCATGGGAAGCTGATGCTGTCCTTCCCTTCTCCTGCCTTGAAACAGAGCTCAGAACAAAACACACATCTTCCTCTCACTTTTGTACACCACTTCTCGCTGGCGTCCATCTGTCTCAAGAGACAATGGAGTGGGCCTCCGGGGCTGAAGTCAAACCGCTGGGTTTGCAGTGCCAGAGTGACCTCCCTGGGGGGACAAGCCTGGGCAGTGTATATGGGGGTCTTGGGCTGCCCTGATGACATGACCCCCCTCTCGGCCCCACCAATGTGGTCCATAGGAAATCAGTGTAAGACGTTTGGCATCTTCTTGGCTGCAGGTGTTGCCGGAAGGAGGCATTCAAGGTGCCACCAAAAACCCCTTTTGGACTCCATTCCGGATTTATGTAGGGTTCACTCCTGAGCCTTTTCTTCTCTCAAAGATATCTCGCAAGGCAGTGGAGGTTTATGATCAGAGTTTTCCGTCCCCTAGATGGGCTCCCTTCCCAGGTGGACGAGCCCCATCTGCCCCATACGCCCCTCTTCTACAGAACGTGCAGAAACCACCTTCTTGACTGCTGGACCCCATACACCACACTTTGTTGTTGTCGTTTAGTCGTGTCCGACTCTTCGTGACCCCATAGACCAGAGCACGCCAGGCACTCCTGTCTTCCACTGCCTCCTGCAGTTTGGTCAAACTCATGCTGGTAGCTTCGAGAACACTATCCAACCATCTCGTCCTCCATCTTTCCCAACATCAGGGTCTTTTCCAGGGAGTCTTCTCTTCTCATGAGGTGGCCAAAGTATTGGAGCCTCAGCTTCACGATCTGTCCTTCCAGTGAGCACTCAGGGCTGATTTCCTTCAGAATGGATCAGTTTGATCTTCTTGCAGTCCATGGGACTCTCAAGAGTCTCCTCAACACCAGAATTCAAAAGTATCTATTCTTCAGCGATCAGCCTTCTTTACGGTCCAGCTCTCACTTGCATAGATCACTACTGGGAAAACCATGGCTATAACTATATGGACCTTTGTCGGCAAGGTGATGTCTCTGCTTTTTCCCCCTTCCTGCTTTTTCTCCTTCATGGATCACTGCCTTGCCATGGCGAAGGGGCTTGAATAACTTACAGAAGCTATGAGCTATGCTGTGCAGGGCCACCCAAGATGGACAGTCATAGTGGAGAGTTTTGACCAAACGTGACCCACCTGGAGCAGGAACCGGCAAGCCACTCCAGTATCCCTGCCAAGAAAACTCCACGGACAAATACAACAGGCATACACCACACTAGATGTCTCTATTTCTGGGTATAGTGCACTGGCCTGGCAACACACTTTTCCTGGGTTGCTGACTCAAAGGGAACCTAATTTTGCCCGCGGCCAGAGCAGGTGCGAAGAGGCAGGAGCGAAAAGGCGAGCAAGCTGGATCAATTGAGTTAGAGGATTCTGTGCAGAGGGGGAACGGAGGTGTTAACCTCGTTTGGCTCCTTGGCCAGGTGTGGCGGCTTCCTTTCCACAGCCCACTGTCTCCAGCTCGAGGGCTTGTTTTTGTGTGTGTGAGAGAGACTAATTCGGGTTTATTTGGAAGCAATCTGATTTGGCCGCTGGTGTGCGTGAGGAGGGGGCTACCAATAGGGAGGGTGAGGGGGATGCAGATGTTGCGCCAACAGCTGGCTGACAGAAAGCACTGCTGTGGGGGGCAGCCCTCCATGTGCAACCTCGGAGGGAGCACTGTAGCTCCTCTCAGTGTAGTGGAAGCTGCTTGCTGGACTCTGCTTTTATACGAACAAGGCTAATCCTCCCCCTTTTGGACTCCTTCCTTCCTCCGCCAACACTGTTGTTGCCAGAACGATTTGTCTTTTCTCGTTGCTCTGACCATGGGATGCAGGCCCATAAAATCCCTCTCCTGGCTTCCTGACCGCTCTCGGATCCGGCAACAAGCCCCTTTGTCCTTCCCTCCCATGTGACGCGGCAGAAATCCCGTGGAACGATGCACGGAATGGAGAAAAGCGAATGTGGAAAAGTTTATCTACCTCTCTCGTAACTCCCGGAGCTCGTGTTGGGAAGATTTGGGAGAGATAGAAGGAAGCCTTCACACCAGCGCAGAGTCAGAGCATGGAACTTGCTCTTGAGAGAAGTAAGAATAAGAATAAGAATAAGAATAAGAATAAGAATTTATTTATACCCCACCCTCTCCAGCCAAGACCAGGCTCAGGGCGGCTAACACCATGTATAAAACAATTGATTTAAATACAACTTAAAAACAAGATTAAAATACATTAAAATGCAGCCTCATTTCAGTAGAAACTCAAATCAAAAACTTTTTGGGGATGAAAGTGTCAAATCTTCACCAAGGCCAGCTATCCAGACTGGTCCTACGTGGGCCAGAAAAAAGCCAAGGAAGTCCCCAAATAGGAGTTCCATCGCAGAAAGAGAAAGGAAGAAGGAAAGAGGGAGAGGGGATCAAGTTGATTCCAAGCCAAAGGCCAGGCGGAACAACTCTGTCTTACAGGCCCTGCGGAAAGAAAGCAGATCCTGTAGCCATCAGAAATCAGAAGTAGCAACGGCCACCAGCTTAAGGTAAAGGGACCCCTGACCGTTAGGTCCAGTCATGACCGACTCTGGGGTTACGGCGCTCATCTCGCTTTATTGGCCGAGGGAGCTGGCGTACAGCTTCCGGGTCATGTGGCCAGCATGACTGAGCCGCTTCTGGCGAACCAGAGCGGCGCACGGAAATGCCGTTTACCTTCCCGCTGGAGCGGTGCCTATTTATCTACTTGCACTTTGAGGTGCTTTCGAACTGCTAGGTTGGCAGGAGCAGGGACCGAGCAACAGGAGCTCACCCCGTCACGGGGATTCGAACCACCGACCTTCTGATCAGCAAGTCCTAGGCTCTGTGGTTTAACCCACAGCGCCACCCATGTCCCAGCTTAGATGGCTTCAAAAGAGGATTGGACAGATTCACAGAGGAGAATAAGACTATTGATGGCTACGAGCCACAAACAGCGATCCTCTGCTTCCATGTTTGGAGGCAGCAGTAATTCTGAATCCCCGTTGCTGGAAACCACAGGATGGGAGAGGGTTCTTGTGCTTAGATCCCACAGGCATCTAGTTGGCCACTATGAGAACTGGATGCTGGACTAGATGGGCCATGGGTCTGATCCAGCAGGCTTCTTATCTTCCTACATTCCAGGACCACCATGGCCTTGACTCACCCATCTTTCTGCTCCTGTATCCTTTCCCCTTTGCTGCTTCCTTGTTGCATCCTCAAAACACCTGCCTAGAATCCATCAAGACTTCCTCCCAGAGCTAGCCAGCTGCATTGCTCAGCTGGTGAGCTGGCCTGTGGGTCCTTGCCTGCCTCAGCCTCTTAGAGCACCCCACCTGCTGCTTCTCCCTATGCCTCAGAGCCCTTTGTGTTCATGGAGACAGGGGCTGCTCTGGCTCTGGGTCCTGTGCACTGGCCCCCATCCCCTTGTCATTCTCCATCACCCCGTGAGTAGTTTCCTACACCAACCGCTCCTTCCCCACCTCCCAGCTTGTCCCCTTGTGCCCCAAGTCCTACACCCCTCACCCAGATCCTCTTTCTCCTTCCTGTTGTCCTGCCAGTTCATGACACAAACGAAGCTTCTCAGTGGTTTGTCCTTTAAGGATTTGCCAGGGCCCAGAGCCTGGGAGAGAGAGAGAGAGAGAGAGAAAGAGAGAGAGAGAGATTTCTGTGCTCTCAGACTCTGCTGAGCAAGTTGCGTGTTTGGAGCTGTCCGTGGTACTGCAGCTCCTTACCTGCTGGATGGAAAAATGTTGCTTCAGGAGGCCTCTCCTCTCAGCTCCTCCAACCCTTCCTTGAAGCCCCTCTTTCCTGTGAAGTCTTTGGCACAATCCCTCCATCCTCATGCCTGGGGGCTCTTGGTTGCCTTGGCCTGCCGCTTCCATATGCCCCAGCCGGCATGGCCCGTGGCTCAGGGACCTTGCACGCCGTTTGATCCCTGGTAGGTAAAAGTAAAAAAAAGTTAAGTCCAGCCAAAGGCAACTCTGGGGTTGTGGTGCTCATCTTGCTTTCAGGCCGAGGGAGCCGGCGTTTGTCCACAGACAGCTTTCCAGGTCACGTGGCCGGCAGGACTAAACCGTTTCTGGCACAACGGAAACCAGAGTGCATGGAAACGCCGTTTACCTTCCTGCCGCAGTGGTACCTATTTATCTACTTGCACTGGTGTGCTTTTGAACTGCTAGGTTGGCAGGAGCCGGGACAGAGCATTGGGAGCTTGCCACGGTAACATGGATTCTCCAGGTGACGCTGCCAGCCAGGTTCATGCCCCAAACCCCAGACAGACACTGCTGCCAGCCAGCCCAGGCAGTACAGAGCAAGATGGAACCCAGTGGTCTGTACCCATTATGCCAATAAAGTCTGAATGAATGAATATATGTACCTGTAGCTGCCTGTGTTCTTAGGGGAAAAGCAGAATCTGGAGTCAGTGCAGCCTGCTTGCTCAGTAGCTGGTGAGAAGTGCTGCGGGGAGGTTGGTTCACTGATGTGGGGGGCAGGGGACCCACAGAGAGCTCCTTCCCCCAGTGAGGGGCCCCCAGAACCTGCAGCCTATGCTGTGGCTCTCTCTGTCTCTCTTAAACTGCTCTTCCCCTGCTTCTGCTACTTTTGCTACCTGCGCCAAGTGTGTTTTTCTTGATGTGCATGTGCTGAAAATCTGGCAAAATGAAATCTAGGGATTGATCCATGCATACCTCTCTTCCTCACTGTTTGCAGCCCCCCCATCCCCCGCAGAGACATCCCCGTCATGTGGTGTCAACCATTTAATTGCCACAGCAATGACCTCCGGCCGGCACATCGAAACCACTTGATGATGATAAAAAAAGCAATTTTATCTGTCAGCAGTAATTAACGTGCTGGAACGTTAACGTGGCTGTCGGTTCCATTCATCTCCTGCTATTTCTTTCTCTCTCTCTCTCTCCTCTCCTCTCCTCTCCTCTCTCCTTTCCTCTCCCCCTCCCCACCACCCAGGCTCCTTCGTGGGGGAAACGTCGTAATTGTGCAAATATATCCCGCTGGTATAAAGAGGCATTGTTGCTGCAGGGCAGGCCTTGGGAGAGAGGCAGGGGGTGAGAGATCGGGGGGCTAGGAGGAGCCCCAATGCCTCAGGACAGGGAATCTGGTAGTGCAAGCTCCAGAAATTTTATTTTTGGGGAGGAGACTCATAGAATCGTTGAATTGTAGAGCTGGGAGGGACGCCAACGGTCATCTAGTCCAACCCCCTGCAATAATAATAATAATAATAATAATAATAATAATAATAACAATTTGTTATTTGTACCCCGCCCATCTGGCTGGGTTTCCCCAGCCACTCTGGGCGTCTTCCCACAAAGATTAAAAATACATTAAAATGTCACACATTAAAAACTTCCCTGAACAGGGCTGCCTTCAGATGTCTTCTAGCTGTTTATCTCTTTGACATCTGATGAGAGGGCGTTCCACAGGGCGGGTGCCACTACCGAGAAGGCCCTCTGCCTGGTTCCCTGTAGCTTAGCTTCTCGCAGTGAGGGAACCGCCAGAAGGAGCTTGGTGCTGGACCTCAGCATCCAGGCAGAACGATGGGGTTGGAGACGCTCCTTCAGGTATACTAAGCAGAAATCTCAGCTAAAGCAAGAATCACAGCTAAAGCATCCAAGACAGATGTCCATCCAACCCCTGTTTAGAAAACCTTCAAGGAAGGAGAGTCCACAACCTCCTGAAGGAGGCTGTTCCACTGTCTCCTTCAGCTCTCACTGTCAAAAAGCTCTTCCTGATGTTTAGTTGGAATCTCCTTACTTGTAACTCGAAGCAATGGGTTCGAGTTCTACCCTCTGGAACAGCAGAAAACAAGCTTGCTTCATCTTCCACATGAGATATTTGAAGATGGCTATCACATCTCTTCTCCTTTCCAGGCTAAACATACCCAGCTCCCTCAACCGCTCCTCATAAGGCTTGGTTTCCAGACCTTTGATCATCTTTGTCACCTTCCATTGCACACGCCCCATATTGTCAATGTCCTTCTTATATTGTGGCGCCCAGAACTGGACACAGGAGTCCTGGTGGGGTCTGAATAGGCAGAATAGAGCAAGACAAAGCTATTTGATTACGGGACAAGACACTGTCTGTGGCTCACTTCATCTGAGAGATGCTGACTATGAAAGCACATCTGATTTATTTTGGGTGTGAAGCAATATTGTTGTTGTTGTTGTTGTTGTTTAGTCGTGTCCGACTCTTTGTGACCCCATGGACCAGAGCACGCCAGGCACTCCTGTCTTCCACAGCCTCCCGCAGGGGCTGTCTCCCACAGCCTCATGCTTGTAGCTTCGAGAACACTGTCCAACCATCTCGTCCTCTGTCGTCCCCTTCTCCTTGTGCCCTCCATCTTTCCCAGCATCAGGGTCTTTTCCAGGGAGTCTTCTCTCTCATGAGGTGGCCAAAGTATTGGAGCCTCAGCTTCAGGATCTGTCCTTCCAGTGAGCACTCAGGGCTGATTTCCTTCAGAATGGATAGGTGTGATCTTCTTGCAGTCCATGGGACTCTCAAGAGTCTCCTCCAGCACCATAATTCAAAAGCATCAATTCTTCGGCAGTCAGCCTTCTTTATGGTCCAGCTCTCACTTCCATACATCACTATTGGGAAAACCATAGCTTTAACTATATGGACCTTTGTTGGCAAGGTGATGTCTCTACTTTTTAAGATGCTGTCTAGGTTTGTCATTGCTTTTCTCCCAAGAAGCAGGCATCTTTTAATTTCGAGACTGCTGTCACCATGTGAAGCAATATTGGGAGGCACTAAAGTCTGAATTTTGCACCAGGGTAACCCACCCCAGTTGGAAAACCCCCTTTCTCCGGACTCCAAAGATTTCGTTAGGCACTGCTGGTTCATCCTCTAGCTTATCCTGGCAATCATATGGACTAGAAATTTTGCCAAACTTCTGCTTGTTTAAACTTCCTTTCAGAGCGAAACTACGTTTCAAAGGCAAATGTGTTGTGCCCTAACAGACTCCCCCTCCTCACTGTTTATTTTGATTGAGAAGTTTCTTTGGGAACAGGAAATCTAGAGTGGAGAAGCAAAGTAGGGTGCTTAACTTCTTCCTGTGCAAATGGCGATGACTCCCCATTTCCAGCTTTTTAAATGCGTGCTTGTGAGGGTAAATCATCATCAATCTTTATTACGGTCCAGAGACCCAACAAATCATTACAAAGCAATACACAATTCATACAGCCTACCTCCAGGTTAAACAAGCATTTTGTTCAGAATATAGGGATTATTTGTTCTTGCAACCACCGATAAAAACTTTGCCACTGCTAATGTTCTAGCATTTCCGGTCTTTCAATAGGAACCTGACATAGTGAGCCTCTGATTTTCCTGGGAAAGGTACCAGCAAGGGTAGTATCAGTTCAGCCCTGGCTTGCTCATATTTTGCACAATGCAACAAAATATGTTTTATGGAATCGATGTCTTGAGGGTAAATAATGTCTTTTGAACCTGGGGGGGGGGGGGAGAGAAGCAGCTGATTTTGAGTTTAGGGCAAAGAAAGTGAGGAAAGGGTTACATGAGCCACTTCCATGCTTCAAGTCCGCTTCCCCACTATACGCCACATCCCCCTGCGACCAGTACACAAGTTGGCATATAACATGTCCTTTGGCCCTGGGAGTGGCGACAGCTTTGGCCCCGATCCCTCTTTCCAGCCCTGGGCATTGTTGCAGCCACAGAGGGGGCAGGTTAACATTCATCCCTCCTTACAGGGATTTATCGCCCGGAGTTTGCAAAACGAAAGGAGGGCGAACTCAGCGTTGCGCCCCCAAAGTCCTCCCCTTGGAGCTCGCAGAGTCCTTTCTGCCCAACTGCCCTGGGACCGGTTTCGTAAACTGCTTCAAACGTTGCCTTAGGAGAGGACATCATCATCCAGCTTTAAAGGGATTTGGCCGGGGACCCGAAAACTGGGCATTTTTTGGCGTTTGCTAACATTTGCCATGGCGAGATTCAAAGGGGACGTCTGAGGCTTCCGTCCTGTGTCTCCTTGGGGAGCAGCTTCCTGTTTTCTGGAACAGTTTGGAGTGGGGGGTGAAAAAGCAAAGGGGAGAAAAAACTTTTGGCTGTGGCTCTTCTCCCCTCCCCCTCTCGGCCTTATTCGGCTCTCCTCCCTGGATGAACCCTGAAGAGGTTGCGCGCTCTCTCTGTCTGGTCTTTGCTCACCACAAATATTCAGGGCTTTCTTGCTCCTTATTTTGCGGAGCGGGTTTGCTGCCTCCTCTCCTCTTTGCCTAGGGAATTTCCAGATGTTCCTGCACTTTTAAACAGCTGCTTCTAGGTGCCTCTTTAGGCGCTGTGCAGATCTTAAATCCACATGGAGGTGCGTAAAATTTATGCTCAATTTGGAAAAAGCGGAAATGAAGTTGTCCTCCTCATCATGGTAAAACACTGCAATCCGGAGTCGGCCAACGAAGCTGAAAGCTGTAAGCTTCAGGGCAGGCAAAATAAGTTGTTTCTTTCCCCCCCTTTTTTAATTTTTTAATTTTTTTATTGATACAACAAGAAAAAAGAAACAAAAACACAAATACCAAATTACACACAAGAATAACCATAGACACATAATTTTCTTAGCAAACAATAAAACATATATTGGTCTTAACACTAAAGACCCAACCTCCCGTCTATTCCATATTTCAATTTCATATTACTTATTGCCAATACACACTTTTATCATAATTAAACTTATTCTCAATAAATCTAATTTTTTATATCTACCTTGCAACTATTACTGAAGTTCCTCGAATGCTGCAACAGAATTTAAACTACTATATTTATTTTTCAGATATTCTTTGAAAACCTCCCATTTTGAAACAAATTCCTGTTTTGATTTATGCTTTATTTTTTTCTGATAGACTATCTAATTCGGCATATTCTGTCAGCTTTTGGATCCAGTCTTGTATAGAGGGGATTTCATTACTCTTCCATTTTGCTGCGATCAAAACTCCTGCTGCTGCCGTCGCATATAAAAAGATACCCTTCCTCTTTTGTGGAATATCCAAATCTGTTATTCCCAGGAGGTAGGCCTCTGGTTTTTTATTGAAAGAGATCTTTAGCATTTTTCGCAGTTCTGCATGGATACTCTCCCAGAATACCTGTATTTTCCTACATATCCACCACATATGATAGAAAGTTGTTTCTTTGCACAGCGCAGGGTTAATTTGCTCCCCCAAGAGGTAAAGATCGCCACCAACTCTGGGTGGCTTTAAAAGCAAAGTAGACAAATCTAGTTAGGGAGAAATAACGTCAACGTTTACATGCACTTTCAAATCTGTTTCTGAAGCCAGAGGTCCCTGCTGGGATGTTAAGGTGTATTCTGAGCTTTAAAAGAAAAACACGCCCACAAAAGCTCTCTGTCAAAACTCTGTGTCAAGGTAACCCAAACCCTGACCAGAGAGAGGCTAGGTTCTGTGACCCTGTGGGAACAAAGCATATTTGCAAGGCTTTCTCATTATTTATTTTCATTTATTAAATAGGTGCTCTGCTCTCGGATCTGTAGATCTCAGGGCTGTTCACAGCATGAAAATGCGAGATAAAAAACACAAAAAATGCATAATAAAAACAAGCAAACAAAAGAACCCTCCCAACAAACACATTTAACAGGATATGGGATGTTAGCCAAAGACCTGGCTGAAGAGGAACATTTTCACCTGGCGCCTAAAGGCATATAATGAAGGTGCCAGGCGAACTCCTCTGGGGAGAGCATTCCACAAATGGGGAGCCACTGCAGAAAAGGCCCTGTTTTTGGTTTTTAGCAACTGTTTTGCAGTATTTTATCTTGCTCCTGCCAGCACCAGAGAGTAAGAGGGAGCTCTTCCGAACCAGGCCAGGGACCCTATTCAATCCAGTATCCTGTTCTCACAGTGGCCAACCAAATACCCACATGGGAAACCTTTGAGCTGGACCTCGCTGCACCAGGACTCTCCCGGCTTGTGATTCCCAGCAGCTGGTATCCGGGGCATTCTGCCTCTGGCAGTGGGTGCTGGACATAGCCTGAGTGGCGGGTAGCTATTGATGGGCAGGAGCTGTTCAGGGTCTTAAGCCCCACCCCCCAGAACACTGAATATCTTATTTGGCAACCCCCCTGGCTTCTGAGACTTTATAGCACCATCGTTCTTTTGCCCTGCCCTTTGTATCAGACAATTCAATTTGTGTTCATTAATCAGCTGGTTAATTAGCAGGTAGTGGCCATTGGACGATTGCAAGGTAGTCTTCCTAATGTTTACTCAGCATGGGGATAAGGTGGAGATAGCAGCCAGGTTTCTGCAACACGCAGTGAGGATTCGCAAACGTCACAGTATTTTAATTGTTAGATGCAGATACTGCTGCGCTTTTATAGTGCTGAACCTTTTGGAACCTCATCTATATGCCAGTTAAGGTTTGAGATGGGTTGGTTGACACAGAGTTGGAAGGAACCAACCAAAAAGAATATTTTTGCCCAACGTAGGGCTTGAACCCACAACCCTGAGAGTAAGGGTTTCAGGATATACCGACAACTGCTGTTCTTTCTCTTCCGAGCCTGCCTTCGCTACGATGAGGTTTAGGAATGCCTTTTTGCTCAAAACGAACCCGAATATTCTTGTTGTTGTTTAGTTGTTTAGTCGTGTCCGACTCTTTGTGACCCCCTGGACCAGAGCACGCCAGGCACTCCTGTCTTCCACTGCCTCCCGCAGTTTGGTCAAACTCATGCTGGTAGCTTCGAGAACACTGTCCAACCATCTCGTCCTCTATCGTCCCCTTCTCCTTGTGCCCTCCATCTTTCCCAACATCAGGGTCTTTTCCAGGGAATCTTCTCTTCTCATGAAGGTGGTCAAAGTATTAGAGCCTCAGCTTCAGGATCTGTCCTTCCAGTGAGCACTCAGGGCTGATTTCCTTAAGAATGGAGAGGTTTGATCTTCTTGCAGTCCATGGGACTCTCAAGAGTCTCCTCCAGCATCATAATTCAAAAGCATCAATTCTTCAGCAATCAGCCTTCTTTATGGTCCAGCTCTCACTTCCTAATATTCTTAGGAAGTCTTAATTCCAGGACCGCTTTGGGTGACTTTTGGTTCTTTGGTATTGACTGGCTCAAGTCTTGATACTGCCCAGCCCTTGCAAGCAGCTATTTAGTGGGGTACTTCTTCTATAGCAAATAGTGTTCCCAGGGTCTTGCCATGCCGCCTGTTTTGGCAGAAACGACAAAGGGCCTTGTGGCACCTTAACAACGGGCGCATTTATTGTAGTTTAACAAGCTTCCGTGAATGAGAGTCCACTTCATCACATGCAGATTGGTGCCTGACTCCATCTTTGGGGGGTGAAGCCTGGGAGTCAGGAGTGGGAGAGGGAAATCCACTCAGAAACAGCCCATGACGTCCCTACTAACCTGGTTCTAGAGGAGTCCCTAACTCAATGGTGGAGCGCATATCTTGTCTGCAGGAGCTCACAGGTTCAGTCCTCATGAAAAGCAATCTGTGGGGGATGGGAAAGTTGTGGAAGAGCCCTGCGCCTGGAGAGTCGCTGCCGGCCCGAGCAGCTCAAGCCTAGCTAGATGGGCCAATGATTTGTCTCTGTGCAAGGCAACAGCTTAACTTCATAGCCTGCCATTGCCAGGTTTTCTGCACATACCTTATTTTTCCTTGTATAACACGCCCCCTACTTGTTGATCTTTTTTTGGGGGGGAGGATTGCCCAGAGCTTTTCAGGGGGAGAAGGGGGGATGCAGTAAATCACTAACCCAACGGATAGGCACTGACAATCGCTCGCATTGCAGAAGCCAAAAAGCGGCTGCCCGATTTCCAGCAGTGGCTGACAATCGCATGTACAATTGCCGCAGCACCAGCCAATACAAACCAGCCTTTGCCACAGCCACCAATCGCCAGGCAAATTGCCTATGACAATCTGCAGCTCGCGGCAGTCACATGTCCTCCCTACCCATGCTCCGTGTATAAGACAACCCCCCATTTTTTAACACTATTTTGGAGTAAAAAAAAACACCTCGTCTTATACACGGAAAAGTACGGTACGTCTTTAACATGGGCTGCCAGCCAGTCTGAAGGTGCTTCCTGTTGTAAATTAATTTATCCCCACCCCCATTTTGCTTACTTGATCTGAACTTAAATATGTTTGCATATTTGCAGTGTTCAAAATCCCCCAGGGCGTCAGGTGTGTTTTGCTACTGGTGCGGGTCCAGTTGGGGATGCGTGGAGATTGCTGGGTGCCAGGCTGATCACCACAGTTTAAAAACCTCTGCCTTAGTCTATGTTGTTGTTGTTTAGTCGTTTAGTCGTGTCCAACTCTTCATGACCCCCTGGACCAGAGCACGCCAGGCACTCCTGTCTTCCACTGCCTCCCGCAGTTTGGTCAAACTCATGCTGGTAGCTTCAAGAACACTGTCCAACCATCTCATCCTCTGTCGTCCCCTTCTCCTTGTGCCCTCCATCTTTCCCAACATCAGGGTCTTTTCCAGGGAGTCTTCTCTTCTCATGAGGTGGCCAAAGTATTGGAACCTCAGCTTCAGGATCTGTCCTTCCAGCGAGCACTTAGGGCTGATTTCCTTCACATCCCATGGAAATGGAACTGGTATTAAAGTTAATACCAGTTCCGTTTCCATGGGGTGTGTCTCTACTCCTTGCATACAGGGAGAAGTGAATTGTTGTAAGAGCAAGCTACAGTCAAGCTATGTAGCAGAGATCATAGAATTGTAAAATGGTAGCTTTGGAAGGGACCCTGAGAATCATCTAGTCCAAACCCCTTGCAAGTAGATATTCCTTTGTGGCAACCGCAACTTAGGTTTAAGGTGCCATTTAGAGGCTGGCTTATATTGCTGAGTTTCTAACACTGTTTGCATGTTGCAAAATCATCCCTGGAGGAGGAGAGAGACCCCTCCCCATCTTTGAATGTGAGGCAGATAACAGTTTATATATTTTTTTAAAAAAAAAGAAGGAAGGAAAAGGCCTTCTGCAATTTTTTGTTCGCCATCCAGCTTGGAAGCTGGCGAGATCCAGTCTTACCCATTAATTAATCAATGGGCTCATTTTAAGCTGCAGCTAATATCTGCGCTGATCAATCGTTTTAAAGCCTGCTGCCCTATTTTTAGTGCATTGGGTTGCTACCCTGGATCTGTTTGGGCACTAAACCAAATTAGGAACTGGATTTACCAAGGTTTGATTTGGGGTAGAGTTTCTAGTCCCTATGACATGATGCCCTGGGAGTTTTGCAGCGAGGTTTTATGCTGTGAACCACCCTGTGATCTTCGGATGAAGGGCAGTACAGTGGTACCTTGGGTTACATACGCTTCAGGTTACATACGCTTCAGGTTACAGACTCCGCTAACCCAGAAATAGTGCTTCAGGTTAAGAACTTTGCTTCAGGATGAGAACAGAAATCATGGTCCGGCAGCGCGGCGGCAGCGGGAGACCCCATTAGCTAAAGTGGTGCTTCAGGTTAAGTACAGTTTCAGGTTAAGAGCGGACCTCCGGAACAAATTAAGTACTTAACCCGAGGTACCACTGTATACAAATCTAATAAATAAAATAATAATACTAATTTTGGAATCTTCCCTACACCTGGACTTGCTGTGTTGGTGTGACACATAACTTTCTTTCCACCTTTCCCCCCTCTGCTTGACAAAAGCACCAGCCTGTATTATTTGGAGTGGGGGGTGGGGAAACACAGCTATATAATATAAATGTTGTTTCTGTGTTCTCTCTCTCTCTCCACAGTCTCTGGATGGGTTTGTGTTTGCACTGAACCAGGAGGGAAAATTCCTTTACATCTCCGAGACGGTGTCTATTTACCTTGGGCTCTCGCAGGTAGGAGCTGTGTGAGCTGTGTGCTAAAACGTGAATAATACATGCACAGACTGGAAATAAAAGAGGGGGGGAAACCCCACTCATGCGGCCAGATGTATAGCGCATGAGTATTATGCAGCCGGGTGGGGGTTGCGCTGGGAACAGGCAAGATTATTCTCTGCAGCGTCTGCAAGGTGGAGAATCTACAGGCTCCCAAATACTTTGCGGGCTGCAGCCAGATACCGTTGGGCAGCTGGAATGGGCAGGAATGGTTGCAGCCAACCCATAATTTGCTTACTATGGTATTCTCTAAGCATGCAAAGCTGGGAGCTCTTGCAGACTTCTGAGAACCTCTGCTGCCATTTTAATAGGGAGAGAGAGCGCATGTGTGTAGTCCTCATGAGGACAGTCCTTTTTGCCCATGCATAAAGGAAGTTGACTTGTTTAGCTTAGGAGGTTGAGACCAGACGTGCTAGAGCAGCCTTTGTCAACCTGGTGCCCTCCAGCTGTGTTGCGTTTGCAAAGTAAAGGAAGGATTGAACTCTGATTAATAAGAATACACACAGAGACTTGAACCAGCAAGACTCTGGGAAGGGTGCGTATAATTGTGTCTCTCTGTGCTTGTCCGATGTGCAGCCCCTGGCCCAGGCCGTTTTTATTCACAAAAAAAACTTTTTACAGAGTGTTCGTAAGAACCAATCAGATTTCTTCTGAGCATTTCCACAAACCCATGTGGGGAGAAGTTAAACTACTAAAACTAATTAAGCACAAATATTTCTGGGGTAAACAAAGAACAGAACGACAAAGAAGAGCATCTGGCAACCCCGGAGGTAATAAACAAGCAATACACATGATAAGAAGGATGGCCAGGAGGACAGTGACCATTATCCCCTTAATGTGAGATCTGCTTCCTGGCCCTAAGATTAACATCGTAAGATTAATATACATCAAAGAAACTTGCCCACTATCTTTGAGGACCCAGGACGCCTGCCTGTCTAAGCAACTGGGCTGTGTACGTGACAAGAGAAATGGGCAGTAGAGGAAATGGCCAGAGTTGCAGAGGTGTAGATTGATCAAGAATCATATCAAAATAGTTCAAACCCAGTCAACGCAATGCTTTCATTGCTGACACAGATGGCTTACTCTATATCTGTTATAATTCCTCATAGCAATCCCACCTGATCACTACATCTCTGGATATTTGCACTCCTACAAGCTGTTTTGGACGGCAATTCTCATCCGTCCCAGCCAGCACAGTTGCGCTCAAAAACATCTGGTGGCCAGAGATCTGGGACTCCACAAGTGATTCTGGGAGGGTGAACAGGATTGGGCAAGAGCCCCCCAAAATGGACAATAAAACACTGCTGAAATGTGTACAATGAGTAAGAATGCAACTTTAATTTGGCAAAGAAATGTATACATACGAATACAGTTTCTAAAATGCAGTGAGATATGATCTCAGCTACCCAGAATGACGCCTAAAGGCAGGTGCATGGGAAAGTGTGGGATAATGCTTGCTGTGATGCAGCAGCAGTTTAACTCTCTGCTTGCAAAGAAATCAGAATGATTGCTCATTAAATAGCCAATGTAGCGGATCTCCCTGCAAACCAATATGGATGAATGCTCTACAAAC